ATGTATGACTAAGGTAAATCTTATTTCCTGGACTAAGTCTATCGGGTGCTGATTTAATACTTTTCTGTCCGATAAATGAATAGACCATAGCAATTATACGAGTCATTACTTCATCGCACTTTTCGTAAATAACATTTGTTTCTCACCCTGTTGCGCTCGTATGGTGCTGTCATTCCTTAATACTTACAAAGAGACAAGTTAATGGTTGAAAATGAACATTTATTAAATATTACATGAGGACATAATATATATCAATACAAAATGAATATTTTTGAACCAGGAACTAGTCGCTAATCGCTACTTATCTTGTTGTTCTTGTAGTGACGCTCTTCGAAAAAGTCTTAGGCTCCGTCAATTCAAGTCCGATCGACATGAAAATTGGCATGCTTTTTCTTTGAACAATTTTGCATCGATTTGGTTTTAAATTACTTAGCAAACAAGTACTATCGTACTATGGACCAGGAACTGGCCATGTTGTTGGATAAAATTAAAAAATCTAACTACATAATATGGAGGATAAAAATCTGAAACTTGGAGTTCAACAATGGTCTGTTTTGAACTCGTTTCTATTCCCTTTATACAGTAACAACCCTTAGAAAATTCAACTTGGTTATTAACAATAACAAATGATACATGTACATTCATTGAGAGAAACAAATGTTGCGAAAAAGAAAAGAAAGATTGACCGACAGATTCTAATCCCTTCAATACAAAAACTCCTTCTGTGGAATTTCACAATTTAAAACAAAAACACTCCAAAGTTCTGTCAAAATATTACCAATCATGATTTTCCGTGAACAGGTCGATTTCTTTGTGAAGAATGAATCATGACCCAGTTTTGACCATAGTAGAAACTCAAGTTTACTCAATTTCAATGTGCTTGAAAACGATAAGAGGTACTAGTGATTGTTCCCATAAAAAACTATGTTCTGTTAAAGTAACAGAACTGGCATTTTCTTTCGGTCAGAATTTTTAATGGTCTAATAATAGTACAGCTGCCGCCCATCGCTGCGTTTGCCATCTCTTCAAGTAGTTTTCTAAAATGGGTTAAAATGCCATAAATGTAATTCCTTCTAGCACATCGCCATGGTACGATGCTTAGTGCTTCGGTGCTCATCGGTCCGCTTTCTTGCCCTACGATCATTGGCCCGACGCATAGGAATACATTACAGCAAAATTATCTCGACAGCCAATTAATTTAAATATCGCAAAAATTATCGTTTATACAATAGAGACCGACCTGAATGCCACAAAGTGTAGGCAAATGGACCAATCGTTAAACTGGGTATTAATGAACGTGTCCTTTAAAGAAATGATATTAATATGTAGAGTAAAAAAGCCGAAAAATAAAAGGGACAAAAATGGTAGTAAAATTTTAATAAGGCTGTCCTAGTCGCCACTGGGACTTCAAATGGCTGTGTGGTACATCATCGCTCTAATGCATTCAGCCTGAAAAATTAGGAGATAAAGTGGATAATAATTTGAAGTTATTATACAGTTGGGTAAATCTGTTATATGTGATTAGTTCAGAACGGCTTTGTAGTTCAATAATAATCATTATCATGATGACCTTAGACTGACGTCCGCTCAGCTTCTGGGAATAATCTTAATCTAATGATTGCGATAGCCAAATACTCCAAATAATGGCGCCATTAACTGAAATCGAATCGCCGATAATCTCTAAATATATTGCGATGTATTATTTCGGTCAGCAGGGTATTGTATCAGGGTCTGGCATGTGCCTAAATAGGTTACAAAAGCCCCGACAAATTAAATTGGCTCCTAAATTAGGGATGAAATGTGTCAAATAATCGTGTACGCACTATGGATTCAAATTCTCCATTCCCATGATTATCAAATCAATTGTCCAGTAAACGAACATGTGGTTTCTGTTGCCTTCTTTAGACTAGCAAATAAAAACGGAGACCAGTTCTTATTAAACTTTAAATTTTAACCGCGCACCGTCTCTGAAGCAAAACAACATTTGTACTATACGTGATCAAAGTAATATTTCAACATCAATATAATACCATTTTGAAGACTATGTTTTTCTTTCATCCTCTATAATCAGAATCAGTGAGATATGCAAGAAATTCTTTACATATCTATCAATGATGAGTGACTAAGTGTAGGGGTGAGTGGGGTACCAAACACGCCCAAATTCGATTTAAGCCGACACAATAATGTTATTTCGGGGTGTTTTGCTCCCAACAAATCTGATTGCTCTCCGTTATCAGTTTTGTATTGCGCATAGTGCAGTCCTCCTGTACTTACTAATATCTAATATTAATTTAGGTAATTCGAATTTAGCGTATTCGAATTTTTAATATAAAGACATACCATGTGTTAGTTTTGGCTTGATCCCATTTATGTTGAGTGGACGTCTTCCAACCCCTTCCCTCTTATTTAATTCTAAGCTTGCAGTACATTTCATACCGCTAGAGGATGCGTGGGTATAGATATTAATCGCCATGGCTGTGTTTCTCCGAACGTGAACAAAAACAGCTAATAGAAATTATATGCCGTTACTTCCCTTTAGTGTTTTTTTTTCAAAGATAAATTACATGTATAGAGCATTGAACTTCCACCCACCTCAGAAACTACATGCTGTGAGAATGCTATAGACATTGCACTTATTACAGAAACGGAACTTGTGGGTGGTGAACAACTCGGGTTCAGTGAGAATATAATTACATTGGAATCATTTAAGAAGAATGTAATCGGCGAGTAATGGATCTTTTGGTATTAAAGTAGACCTATAATAACCCCACACCGATCATAGATGATCTGAACTACCAAGAGACTTGCCGTTTCAGTGTTCATCATTTTATGTCCCTCATGCTTGATCGCGATCATTGATGCATGTTATCATCTATTGATTCTAGCATGTTCAAGAATAATTCATTTATCACGAATGTTTATCAGGATGAGTGAGCAAACTCTAAATATTTTTAATGGCATTTCAACATCCATTAAATCACTACTCAGTGCACTTAAAGTACATGCACTTGTCGTCAGAACTAAAGTTGTTTCATCATTATTGCCTCCAGTTAAAACCTTGTATGGATCGAGTACATTTCACTGGGACAGAACGTTTTTTAAGTGACAAAACCGTATTATTAAAGGGACTTTGAGTTAGTCGACAAATATAGCACACAAACCAAAAGGTGTAGACACGTACTTTGCTAATATACCAAACTATAAGAATCGCGATACGTGTAACAAAGTGCTTAATTTTCTATTTTATAAAATACGAACTTATTGACCTAAGCTGGCTTTGATAATACAGTAGATATAGTGTCGACTTTTCAACTCTATATACTTCTGTTTAGTCGCGTTCTAATTAAACATGTAATTAATCCCTTATGTAATTTACAAACTACATATGATCTGTGCACACGCTCTGCATTAATTCAAAGGAAATGAAATGAAATGGGGTTTAACGTCCTACTGTTCTGCTCCTAAACTGGGCTAATGAAGACGGGCATACGCCATACAGTGTGCTATGACGGAAATTTTGCCCCCGGGCAGCGGCCTACTCTTAAATCGAATTCCAACTGCCAAGGGATCGTTTACGTGCACGCCAATGTGTACGCGGGACCTCGGTTTTTCGTCCCATCCGAACGACTAGACAGCCGTCCTTGTCAGGCCCTCCGTCCTGACAAGGGGAAACCACGCCGGAAAATCTGGATGAACTTTCTCGGCCAATGCAGGGATCAACACCCGACCTCCACTTAGCCACCGTGATCCCCTTAATTCAAAGGAATATGCACTGGTCAGTAATCATACCATGACCTGATAATGACTTAAGGAAATACGCAGTGGAATGGGGGCTATACAATCAGGAGTTCACTGACAGACGATCAGAGACCGAGCAGAAGAGACGCAGAGACCGGCGTATGGACTCACCCGAGATCAGCTGCTGCCATGGCAGAGGGGCAGAATGGTGGACTTAATATTGTTAGATGTGTTCCTGTCGTAGTAATAGTTCCATTATAGTCGATGTAGTCTAGTTCCGATGTAGTTTAGTTCATGTTGTATGTATGTAACTGTAGTTGTTATATATACCTGATGTAAATAAACCATATATTTACTAAACTGTTCTACTGTTATCACTAAGATAGTGTTACATACGGTGGTAGAGTTTAAACCAAATCCGTGTAGCACACTGCTATCTAAAGAACAAATATTATGTTGCTGTCGGGTTCCAAATGCAGATGTCGCTCTACACTAACTAAAGAGAAAATCAAACAGATGTATTTATAATCTAAAAAATATAATTGAACATGTCAGCTACATGTGGGCCATAATCAACTCTCGATGCCATCGAATGCCCCCGATTTTAAGTAGACTAAAACGGTTCGGCCATTTAATGATTTTTTTTAACCAGCGGTTGCCGGGCAAGAAACGCCCACATTTTGCAAGAGATGGATAGAGAACAAGCTAAAAAAAAAACAACAAAAAAACGATTTTTCGTACAATCAGGGCCCATAATCCAGGAACCGAGAATTTTGGGTTATAAACATGTATTTTAAGTTTCATCAGTGACCTCTAGAGTGCCCACAAGCTAAAAACATGATTTTTCGTACAATCAGGGGCCATAATCCATGAAGTTACGATTCAATACATGCCAATATCGAAAGGAACTCTGGTACTAAATGTCGCAGAATGCTGTAAATCCCTAGGATTTGCCCTCTCATGACCACAATACTTCACACCAAGTTCGAAAAGAATACATAGAACACTGTAGCCTCTATTGTGGTCACAAGGTTTTCAACAAAGGGGCGATAACTCTGGTACGAAAGGTCGCAGAATATTAAATATCAATATGTTTCGTCCATTCATGATTTGCTTCACATTAAATACGAAAAGAATCCTTCAAAAATTGTAGCCTCTATCACATTCACAAGTCAGTTGTTGACGGACCAAAGTTCAGGGTGACGACAGAAATGTGGGCGTATAAAAATAAATGGGAAGTTAATTTAGAAGAAGTTAACTAATTTATGAACAAAAGAAGCACTGCATTTATACTATACACCATGTTGAGCATGATATATAAATATGGTATATACATATAAACATTCATACATTTATACAAGTAAGATATATATATGCATACTTCATACAAATAAATTAAAATCAATTACATGTAAAGCTATATGTTATATACATTCATAAAAATTCAACATTTTAAATATACAATTCATACCTCAAAATAAAATTTAAAATGGTAGTTATAAATATCATTTAAAATCTAATAGCCCATTATTTTTAGATAAAAATAAATAATCAGAAATAATGGTAATCAAGCATTGCAATTAATAAATTCCAAAAATCTAAACAAAATTCATTAAAGAATAGTAAATATACACTTAAAAAAATAAAATCCAACATAGCAATAGGAAAGTCAGAAATAGTAATCCATGGACAAGAAATGAAATGAAATGAAATGGAGTTTAACGTCCTAATGTTCTGCTCCTAACCTGGGCTAATGAAGACGGGCATACACCATACAATGTGCTATGACGGAAATTTTGCCCGGGCAGCGGCAGTACGGCCTACTCTTATATCGAATTCCAACTGCCAAGGAATCTTTTAAATTGAACACAAAACTAAAACTAAAAATGGGGTTTAACGTTCACTCCCACCCGACACAAACGAGGTCATTTCGGGACTAACATATGGTTCAATTTTATTTTAATAATTCGCTTGCGGGTAGGGGTCTTTAGCAGTGGGAGGAAACCGGAGGACCTGGAGAAAACCCACGAGGTTGGACAGATGACCCTACTTCTTGTCACGTACAACCGGGGAATCGAAACCATGCCAATGACAGACCTTATGATGCAGCTCCAACATGCTATCCATTCGGCCATCCCCCCCCCCTATTTCGAAGGGGTTAAAAATTCTGAATACCCCTCCCCCACCTCAATAAATTCTTTGTTTATGCATAAAATTAGAGTTGTATGGATATTCAGTAATAATTTGAATATGTAGTCAGTTCTCTTTTCTAACAGATAGACAATGCAAAAAAACCTTCATGTCCTAAATATTTCAAGCATGTTAAATTTAGAGACTATAAATGTGATGACAACTTTCTTTAGAACTGAGATTTTCCGACGTGGTTTCCCCTTGTCAGTGGAGCAGAACGGAGGCCCTGACAGCTGTCAAGTCCTTCGGATGATACGAAAAACCGAGGTCCTGTGTATACATTGGAATGCATGTAAAAGATCCCTTGGCAGTTGGAATTCGATATAAGAGAAGGCGATAGGGCCGTTGCCCAGGCAAAATTTCCCTCATAGCACACTGTATGGCGTATGCCCGTCTTCATTAGCCCAGTATAGGAGTAGAACAGTAGGACGTTAATCCCCATTTCATTTCATTTTATTTCTTTAGAACTGAAATAAATTATTAATTAGAGTGTCCACTCAATTCTGTCACTTTCTTGGATACTCCTACTAGTTTAAATCTTCCTCAGTTATTGAAGAAAAGTAGGATGTTAAACTCCATTTCATTTCACTTCAATACTTTAAGCTAGATCCTATTTATACAATACTAAATCACATTAGTGCTAAATCACATAATAGTTACATGAGAAGTTACATCAGGTGTTCCATAGCTAGTAAGTATGCCTTACCACATGTACAACATCTGTTAAAGCTATATATAGCTACATACAATAAAGCTAAACAAGAAGACATATGTCAAAATTCAATATTATCACATTAATTTACATATCTAATTTAAATTATATAAATATTGCATTAATAGCTATGTATTTCCTAAAGATATCTTTCATCAACAGGCAAGATACTAAATACATAACCATTCACTGATAAATAGATTCAGGCTACAGAGAAAAATACATTTGTTTCTAATTTAATATTTTGTGAGCTATAATTGGAAGATCTGATATAATATCAAATCTAAAAGTAACGCCATTACTAGTACAGCCCTGCCTTAGTAAAAGACAAAGTGTGGGTTGTGTATGAACAGTTGTGTGCCAAACTTGCAACTGCCATTAAAGATTTCCTTTGTTATTTTGAATAATTTAATTTTTCCAGGTTTAAAAAAAATATCCTACTTTTAGCTGAAATTAAGTTTTCATGTTTCAGATAAAGCGATACCAAAATAATCAATTCTTTGATTAAAAACTAAAATATCAGATTTTATCAAATATAAATTTTCAGAAGAGGAATCACTACAAAACAATAACAGAGAGAAATTAAAAAATTGTCTCTTTGCTTTAATAATCAAAATTCATCTACCTTGCCATAAATCAATCATCAATGTATATATATATATGTATTTATTTCATGGAATTACAGAATCGTATGTAATGTGGTCACCCACTTACTACTGACGAAAATCTAACAATTTATCCCCAGCTTTCATCAGTATCCTTTTCATTATCATAAGAAGACCTATCTTCTTTGCTACAAGCAGCAGCAGCATCATTATCCAAGGGGTTGTCATCGAAATCATTGAATGTTTCCCGATCCCCAAACATCCTATGGTAGTCAGCTACAGCTATTTCCTTGACTTTGAAAGGGATACTCTGCCATTTTTTATGATTTGTGACTTTGTCACCATCAATGAACTGGTAACATTCTAATTTTAAAGCTGGGAACATATTGCCCTTGTATTTAAATGTTATTCCCAAATAATTATGGCATTCTTTACAGTGAATCTTCCCAGCTATTTGTATACCATCAAATGGTTTGTGGGGATCTTTATCTGGCCTCGTGTCTACTTTTTTCATGAAAGAAGGATCAATGACAACATGGTGGGCGCCCTGAACAGTGCGAATATCCGTACTATCAATAGTAAGATTTCTACACCGCATACACCGCAGTTTAAAATGACCCTCACGCTTTCTATTTAATCGATACTGTTTTGCTACTTCATTTATCTCTTCCTCTTCAATTGCCTCAATTTGATATTTGCTAATTTTACTGGTGATAGCATTTTCAGGTAATTGTCGTAGTTTGAGAATAGCTTCTGTCATCATTTTTGATCGCTCCACATTTAACATTTCACGCTGTACGATCTGATTACTGCCTAATAATACTGAAACACCCCCTCTCTTTCTGCTTCTACCTGAAAAAATATAAATCAGATACTAAAATATCATGAGCTTTTCTCATGAGTCACCATAAAGGAACTAAACCTCTAACTCAATATTATCCATTCGAAATTATACACAAAAATTAGAATTCAATATTAGCCCATTTCAATTCATATTGAGGTCATTATCCTATTGTGAAAATATGTGATCCTAATATCCAATATTTAAGGCACAATGAACATTTTGAAATCAGTACACAACGTTGTGTACTCTATGGTAACATGTGATTGCCATGCTTTGTAATAGATGGAAGGAGAACTGGAAAATAGGGTTCACCCACTCATTGTTCAAAGGCTTCACATCAAATTAGGAATAAATCTGTTGAAAACTGTAGCCTCTATCGCATACACAAGGTTTTCGGAGACAAACAAGCAGTTGCCATGCAGGATACCTCAGCATTTTGCAAGAGATGGACTGAGAACATGGAGAATATTGTATATATATATACCTCTTGTTTGAACAGTTGTTATTTCGTTCCCAACATGGTTGTACCTAATTACAATATTGCACTCTGGTATATCGAGACCTTCTTCTGCCACACTTGTTGCTATTATCAGTTTAATCTTTCCATCGCGAAATCTTCCAATGATTGCATCTTGCTCGTTTTGTGTCATTCCTGAATAATATGAAATTATTATTGTTATTCAATAAATATAGACCCACCACCAGCGTTGTAATGGAAAGCAAGGACGTGACATTCGACATAGGCAACAACTTCGCAAAACATAGGTTGCCAGGTAACAATAAATACAGCCATTAGGTCTGAGCAGTGCACAAAGACTGTGACATCTTTTTGCGGGCAGTAGGTGCATTTTGAGGATGTTAAAAAATGATCACAGGCTAAATCCCATAAAATGATTATCTGACGCTAACATAAACAAACTATGTATCAGTAATTAATCAAATGATAAATTTCGTAGTTCTAGTTTAAGGTTTATCTATTGAATATAATCACTGTATAAATGTCAAATCAATTGGACAAAAACTGTAAAAGTAATGAACAGAGAACAGAAATTGTTTGATATCAATAGGCATCTGTCTTGGTCTCATTATTTTTATAATTCTGAGAAGACGGTAATGCACAATTTAAAAGGACCAAGTAGAGAATGTACTTACCCCCCTCGTCTTCATGAGCACCAGCACCAGTAAAGGCTTCTGCATTTAAACATTTCAGTTCTTCTACGCTTTTCATCCAATCACAAAGAGCATAACAAGTGGCTCTAGTTCTAACAAATATAATACCCAATGAGTCAGGACCCTTCTCTTTGCGTAAATCTATAAGGATCTTTGCTAATTTTTTCAAATTTGGATTTTCGCCAGTTTTTTCAAATTTTTCCAGGTTTTTCCTCAGATCTAAATAAAGAAAAAAAAAGTATATTATTTTGAGTAGTTGTTTATCTTGAAATTCGATAAAGTTGGTATTTTAATTGAAACACTGCTTAGTTACAGGACATGTAATAAGATAAATCTGATTTGTTTGGAAGGTCTAGGAAAAGACAACTATGGTATATTTTAATACTTAAAGTAGCTAAATCGCTAATATTTGGGACCTAGAAATTGACACAAATGGGTCGCAACGCAGATAATAATGTAATATGAATGTATATAAACTGATTTACATTCAACCGTTTCCATTTTACTCTGATTTCAAATCAGTTATGTGCGGCGAAATACATACGCCAGAAGTCTCAATTGAATGGCAATCACTAGGGTCTGGTTATTCCAGTCTACACTGATAGTATTTATTGCGCATGCTCTCCAGATAAGAACATGTCTTCACCGTTTGACATGACTGGTGGAATATGTCTAACCTCGTTCTTCGAGTCCCATCCCATGTTACAAATTGCGCTGAAACGCACTATGGTACACGATCCGTGTACCAATGGTAAAATGTTTATTTAGATATCAGAAGCCTATCTTTACCCGGTAAGATCACAGCATCAATGTTGATTTAAATTGACAAATTATTTGTGTTTTCAATTTCGAAGAATTTAGATGATATTGAGTTAGAGACTTAGCTACTTTAAGAAAGCATCTGCGACAGGAACAGGCAAAAATCAAAAGAATTACTAAGGTGCAATGTTTGAAGTTTTCAATCAACATCATGCTTTCAGACCTTCTAGTGGTTAGAAGCTACATACAATCTGATTACAATACAGATCTATATTTCGGTTCATTTTTTTTATACTTTCATTAATGGCCTACACTACATGAAGATCTGACCAGTTGTACTGGAGAGTCGCGCCAGGGGTCGTTTGAGTGGCTTTTGACCCTATGACGTCAGAAATTGATTAATCAATCAGCGTTGACGTTTCTAGTGGTTTACGATCTGTGTTTTAATCAGGTTGAAGTTACATGTTAGAATGATTCCTTTTCCACCCTCCTACCTTAGCCCAGGTTAGGAGCAGAACAGTAGGACGTTAAACTCCATTTTATTTCATTTCCACCCTCCTACCAGAACAGAAATGGGATATGGATATTTTCTCTCTCTCTCTTCTCTCTCTCTTTGTTTTTTTGGTATTAAATCATGCATTAAGCTTAGAGTGTCGACTTTCACACTACCATCTGTTTGTTGTAATCTCTGCCATTTTATCAGTCTTTTTAAAATGTTAATTTTATTCTATCTTTTTAACATACCGAATTAAATGAGCTCTGTCACGTTTTTTGTCCAAACTCAAGTCACTGAGAGAATTTTTAGAGGAAAATTGCATGAATGAGGCCTATATGTATAACCACACAATAGCTTTGAAAAGAATCCATCAAAAACAGGGGCCTCCGTTGTGCTCACAAGTCAGTCTGATTAAAAAAAAGACGCAAATATCCCGTTCACAAGGTTTTCAGCAAATTTGAAAACTACAGCCTCTATCTCGTACACAAAGCTTTTGGCAAAAGGGAGATTACAATCGAAAGCCCGAACGGAAACTCGCAGAACACTGAAAATCGACAGAGTTTGTCCTCTCATGATTACCAACTTTGAAAAGAATCTGTCAAAGGTTTTGATGCCTATACTACATTCACAAGCCAATTGTTGAAATATGGCCATATAAAAACACCAGTACAAACAGCCGATTGATACTTGCACTAACACAAGGACATGTGATCCTGGCCTATGTAATCAAAGAAGTAATCATCTCTAGGACATGTGAGGTTAAAGCTGATTGTTTCTTAGCTTTCATTTGATGCTTTTATTTTTGTCTTCCATATAAATATGATTATCACCATGTTACACAATTTAGTAGCGTAATACAGTCATAATATATTACACCCAACTCAAACTTTAAAAGAGTATTCCAGGTTAAGTATCATCAGCAAATAATCATACTATGTTTGTCAATAAAAATTAACTATTATTAGGAAGAGGAGTGGTCACAAAACAGAACCCTGGGGTATCCTTAACTTTAAAGTTGTTTCATTTGATCTCACATCTCTAACAGGTTGACATGTGAGACACAACTACTATAATAGACAGATGTGTATATAAAGGTTCGTAAAGATGTTTTCAGAAGTTCCCAAGATATGCTCTGGAAACAAAATTGGGACAAAGGACAGATGGATGGAAGCCATATCATATTCCATATCAATATTCCTCCTCTAACTTTGTACAGTGTAGGATAACAAAAGCTGAAAAGTGGGCTAAACTTATTATCTATCGTTAATCAATATATAATATAATTCTTCTATTCTTACCTCTGAAAGATGTGGATAATGCACTCTCTACTTCCGTATGTTTATTTTTTCCTAAATTGTCATTAAGTTTTTTCTCCAGGTAAGATATAACATCTTGTAAACGTACCAGATCATGTATGTCTAGGGCCGCATTATATATCTGATAAAAACAAGATCAGTTCAACAATTAATCTCAGTATAGCTCTCCCAAACCAGAATATTTAATATTTTAAGAATTAAATCTCTACTGCAACATCTACTTTTATACTTTTAATAAGTCTGCTTTGTGGATACTACTTACCTCCAATTGTCTGGCAACAACAACTATTGTACGTGCAATCAGTTTTGCTTCTTCAGATTCAGTATTCAGTACTCTGGCTGCTTGTTTTATTTTAACAGCCCATTGTCCATATGCTTGGCTTGTATATTCTGATGGCCTTTTCCTCAACAATGTTGTTATCTCTTTATTATTTAATTTAGCTGAGATATATAAAATACAATAACATTATCATCAGCATCAGCGTATTCTGGAACAACCAGAAGATAAAAAATTGGTTGCTAAACAATGAAGCATATGCCCAATTTGGACCTAGATTAAGTTAGTTAAACACAAAAAAAAAGTCAAATAGATGACACTCAATAATCATTTACACATAATCTTTTGCCGAACAATTAAATTGCTTATCACTCTTCTTAACCTGAGCATGAAGGTATTTATTTCATGAAACTATACATTTTCAAGATTCAACAATTTCACTCAACTAAAAACTTATGGTATTGCAAAGCATCAACAAATCAAATTTGCTTATTGAGTACAGCTACTTAGACTAAGCAGAGTATGTTCTTCATCGAAATCATTCTACATAAATTAGAAGATAGTCTAAGCAGAATTTCATAATCATTAAACTGTCAAGATATGCACCTAATGTACTTAGATTATTTGTCCCAAAAAGTGTGATGGAGAAACTTTTTAAATACATGAGCTCAGGATAATAACACACACTTTATATGTGCATAATGTCCTGGTTCATCTACTTTTCCTAAACATGCCACTGACTATAATATACTTGACCAATTGTAAGAAGAATGATGAACTTACCAGCAGCAGCATCTAAATGAACTTCAATTCCAGCCATTGTTAAAGTTATCTCTTTTCTTGCACCATCATTGCGATTTCCTGTTAACACTTCTCTTCCTGTAGTACATAAACAAACATGAACAGTACAGGTGAGGTAGTGCAATATTTGCCTTGCCACAGACACTGGCAATCCATGCTATGCCAATGTGCCCATCAGCAGCAAATCGTCCTTGCTGCCGCTCAGAGCAATATTTGCCGTGCCACAGGCACTGGCAACTCATGGTGTTCCAGTGTGCCCACCAGTTCTTGTTACCTCTCAAATCAATGTCAACAAATTCCACACAGAAAGTTTTAAAAAATCAAACCAAAGTTTCACGAGCCAACAGTGAGACTGATGTCCCCCACCTCATAATAAATAGAGTACACTCATTAATTACTTGCACATAAAACATATCAAATTATTTATCATCCAAACAGACAAGATATGTGTCTAGGTTTTGATGTAGTGAAACTATACACCAAGTTTCAACTAAGAAGGTAGTATTGTGTTCCGGAGAGAGTAGCTTGACTAACTGCAAGTACATTTTTGGCTTTTCAACCTGCTGTATCTTTGTTAAAAATTAATATTTTGACAAAACCGTGTTTCTGCATACGATTCACAAATAGCTAGCTCATCCATGGCATATTACACAAATTAGTTTTTTGGAAGCTTAATATAGCTTCCCATTAAGAATATGTATCTAAATGTGCAGGCAGTATTTGTGTAAGTCATCGATTCAAATTTTCAGAAACCAAATTTAAAGCTACTGGCTGTAGATGAAAAGCTTGGTGTTTAAATTAAAAGCACAAGTGGAGTCACCAACAAAAGTTAGAAAAGTACAACAGAAATATAATGTAATGCCACTTACTTTCATCGGGTACTGGAACCGTTGCATCAAGTTCCGCTTTATTCTCTTTTACAGTTGATAATTTAAATACATCTAAATTAGCACAAAGTTTTAATATACTGGTCATAGCATCATCACATGTTGTAGCTTTCTCTACACCCAATGATGCTGTTAATCCGATAATCTAAAGACAAATTTATCCTGTGTATATATATTTTATTGGAAGAACTTCGAAAGAAAACAGGAAATTTATGCCTACATAATTATGAACATAAAGATGCATTATGTATATTTAAGAGCTAAATCTGCCTATAGCAGATCTTCTGTCTAGCTTCAAATGCTATATAAATTATTATTTAGACATTTAGTCACATGGCAAGCCCATAATCAACTCTGTAGATCATCGTAAAGCTTAGACATTTAATGGATTCGAACCCTCCCATCATTTAAAATTTAACGATACCAGCGGTTGCCAGGCAAGATACGTCTACATTTTGCAAGAGATGGATAGAGAACAAGCTATAAAAAAACACAATTTTTCATACAATCAGGGACCATAATCCAGGAAGTTATGGTCTGATATGTGCAAATATCCAAAGGAACTGAGATATTTGAAATATAAACATATCGGACAAAAACTGTGACCTCTAGAATGTTCACATGCTAAAAACGTGATGTTTGGTACAATCAGGGGCCATAATCCATGAAGTTACGTGCACATACATGCCAATATCGAAAAGAAACCGAGATGATTGGGTGATGAACCTATATTTTAAGTTTCGTCAAAATCGGATAAAAATTGTGAGATGTAGAGTGTCCACAAACAAATTGTGGACAGACAGACGGACAGGGGCGACAACAATATATGTCCACATGAAAATGTTGGCGTATAAAAATTGATAATCGACAGTTTGTTTATTATCATAGCAATGGTACTTGACAATCAAGACAATCTTGTTACAAGCACTCATAACCAGTCAGCTCTTCATCTATTAATGTTACATTATGCATCTTAAGTTATCAAAATGTAGAGCATTTTGATCAATGGTTAATGTTTTAGGTCAAGTCTGGTCAGATCTTACTATTTTCAAGAACTATTAAAGAGGTATGGTCTGGCATGTCACCATTGCTTATAATGTATGCAATAGAGATAAAACTTGACTGGAACTGTCAATGCCACAATAACAGCCCTTTGAAACACAAAATGGTATTTTATTCATCCTTATTCCCATCAAAAGCTATTTCCAAGAGTGAATTCTCAATATCATTTTACAAACACCCTAGTTTCTTGTTCAAATTTTGGTCAGTCCCAGCCAGTCTAGCTGACATTAGGATCTGTCAAGTAATGTCTCTGTGTGTCATTGGCTGCAGAAAGTATCAAATTTTCCACAACTTAATCCATGCTATACTGAAAAGATTGCAGTCTATATCGTTAAGGGATATCCATATTGTTATTTCCATGGTACTATATGTGATATCAAAATATAAGCTAAGCTGAACAGAAGATAATTCGACTATATCCAAGAACATATCTGACTATAGTTAACTCCTCATACAAACTTAAAAATATATGTGTGCATTTGTTACAAACCTGGGGTAAATTCTGCTCTTTAAGTTTTTTGGCTTTGAGATACTTCTTCATTAAGTTATTATAGGGTTCACCCTTTCTGGTATGATGACACTCATCTAAAATCAGCAATGAAAATACACTAAGTGACTTGATCTTCCCGTCACGTAGATGGTTGTCCAAGATTTGAGGTGTCAACACCAATATATCATAATGGTTCAAAATATTATGTAGTTGCAGAGAAAGCTCACTTTCTCCAGTAACATGCTGTACCTAAAATCAAAATACATTTTCCATGAAACAGAATTATGAGATGTTGTTCGTACTACTGAAAAATTTTGTATTGGTTTTATCAAAATTAAACTTGGTAAAATGGTTTTAGGCAATCACAGACACTGAAATCAGACCTTAATGAGAAAAGATATAAATAAAAAGAATGTGGGAACCCTTCAGGACGGTAATATAGCACTGCGCCGGTCCATCCGAGACCTATTTTGTCCTCTGGTCACCGACGACTATATAAAGGAACCATCCACACAATTTCACTAAAGCCTGATGTGTTCGAATTGAACGAAACTAGTCGCTTCACGAGATAAATCTAGGACGGCTACTCGCCACTCATAGGTTTCTAACTTAACAAGAAAAGACAACAAGTAAAGAAGTAGTTAAATCTTAACCCTTTCAATGCTAGACGTAAATCCACTGCCTGTGCTAGACCCTTTTTTGAGGAAAAAAGGGAGGTTGGAACTGAATGCGTAGCAGTACTTATGGAAGCTTTTATGAAAAATCTTTTTGTCTGTTGGGATTGGCATGAGGTTGGGCTAAGAGGAAAAAATAGAATTTTGGAAATTTGCATAATAATGTAGTCACGTGACGTCATGGCGGCCATTTTGGATTTCTCATTTCTCACTAAAGCTAACACGAAAACGAATTTTTCTCCATGAAATACTTAAAAGATATTGTTTTTTTCACTGGATTTTGATAAAGATATATAAAATGAACAAAAATATCAATAGCAGCCATGAGCAATGCCGCCGCGAACACGCGCATCGCGTCTCCCGCTGCCATGACCACGTGCGGATTGCAATACCTTGTTTTTACTTTCACTTTCACTTTCATCCCCAAGTCCCATATCATTATCAATATAGTCAGTCAATAGATCTACACGTTCGGGATTCAGGAATTACCTACGTCTTTTACGATCCAGCAGGCCAGCATTATTATCAACATCAGAATTATTGTCAGAATCTACTAAGACACAGGGCTATCATGTTCACATTGGGCTTGTTCATCATGCACGGGAGACATAGCTAGCCATGGGCGGAACGTCGCGCAACATATCACACACTTCATAATACCAATCACTGTCCTGACTACTATCATTATCAAGTAACTGGAAACGAATTATGTGTATCACCCGCCTCGAAATTGTCCACGTGTTGGTCAGCAAGACGTCATTCACGACTTCGTCGAGAGTGCATCGTCTACGTTGTCACTATGCACTCCGCCATTTTACGGTTTGCCGCTTTGAAACACGTGGAAATATGTTCTAGTGTATAGAAAATACAATAGATGGCACTTGCAGTTACGGTACTAATTTTAGCGAGGGCTTTACTGGGTACACGGTAATACCGGGTACGGGCATTTTACCGACATTTTATAATACCCGGTACTACCGGGTATACGCAGTGAAAGGGTTAATGTAGACCAATAATAATATCCATGTTGGAACAAAGAAAAATCTAATTTTAATTGGATTCATTCTGTGAAATTTCTTTCCAATTTCAAATTCTACATGATTGGCTGAACATCAAAAGAAGAAAGTCCTTTCTTTCAATAAAAATCAGAGTTAAAACCTAACTGTATTTACAAAATTGAGAAGACTGTGTTCTGAGTGATTAAGGTCTAAAATTGCTGGAGAAAATCATCTTATCACAGTAATGCATTTAAACAACTGAACAACAGCAATTATCCATGACTATTCTGTCATCTGATTTGTTCTTTGATTTAAATATCGATTTATATTGACTTTCATAAATCAAATTTAAAAAAATGTTGATGAGAAACATAGCAATACATGACAAAAGTTTAACTTACTCTGCATTCAAGATATTTCTGGAATGTTTTGGCTTGTTGATTTACCAAGGGTGTAGTTCTTGCTAAGAATACAATCTTCTTAGGATTTTCTGTCATATAAAAAGAAATTAGCTTGTAGGTGATACAAAATTTATATTAGATTGCCTAGCAATGAAACATATTCCCACTAGCAGCCAAGTTGACAAAGCAGTTGATAAAGTTTGTCTCTACTTTTTGTTTTGAAAGTATTTCTGAAAACAATCCTTGTCACATGCAAGCTCTTTATTGAAACTACGCCACATTACTCAATGGGAGACCTTATGATCTAAAGTGCACACATTAGACCACTCAACCACCGAACCTGCCTTTGAGTTAGTGAACCTATACACCAAGTTTCATCAATCATCACTATCCCTCAGGTATCATGTCAAAAAGTTTTGACGAATCACGGCCCAATACTGCTTAGCCTTAGTGGAAAAAGTTAATCATCAATCACCGAAAAGACATTCACTTAACAAAACTCTACACCAAGTTTGCAAATTCTATCTCAGTTAAATTGTGTTCCAAAGTCTAACCCAATCAAATATAATAGTTTATCTCTGCTTAGCCTTGGTAGAAAATGATTATCATCGAACATAGTCAATGCATCCACTTAATAAAAACCTTCCCACACTAAGTTTTAACAGTATAATTCAATTAGAAGCAGAGAGATTGGGTCCCGAAATGTATGTTGGTTGGACATGTAGATAGATTAACTCAATTTACAAGTCCCTTGCATTCTTCAAAAAGGTGGGGGACGACAACTTCGAACTGGTATGGAACTGGTATATTTTGTTCAGATTTTGAGTAATCAATCACATCAATTTCAAAGACCAAATTAAAAAAAAAGATTCGCATAATTATTACCAGGCTCTCAAGAAATCCTGAAAGAAAACTTTACAAAACTCTGACCTTGAGATCATTTAAAAGAAATCTAAACATATTGATAAATCAACTGATGGACAGGGATGCTGACAATACAATTTATAAAAAAAAATGTAAACCTTTTTCTTCATACCTGCTGAGGCCGATTCTAAATGCTTTTTTACTATGTACAGAGCTACTCTGGTCTTTCCAGAGCCTGTTGGAGCGCAGATGATTGTATTTTCTCCTTTGACTGCAACCTCACTCAATTCAAATTGATAATTTCGCATTTGTAAATCAGGATATCCATAATCATTATACTCCTTATCAGCTAGAATAAAAAAAAATACAAAACATTATATAATATTTCATAACAATGTGATAAAAACTCCTCTTGCCTATATAACTGTCAATAATTAATATAACAATCAATAAAAAAAAAAAAGTCTAAAAAACAAGAAATGAATGGAAGCAAGAAATTAATGCGAAGACATAAATGGGAGCAAGAAATTAATGCTAAAAAGAAATTAGTATGATGATGGGATGGGGCAATAGCAGATTTCACAGGAAACCATAAAATATAAATGGGTTTAAGTATGAAAATCAAATGCTAAAATACATCCTTTTACCTGTCGGAAAATTTCAAATAAAAGTATTTAGCTGTTCAAAAATCAAAGTTAGATTCTTCAATTATGTGTGATTGCAACATTCACTTACAACTATAGCTCTGACAATATAAAGACAAATGCCTGTCAAGGCACTTAGAGTGTGGCATTGGGAGATTTATAGACTTGGGTTAGGAGGAAGATTTGCAGGAATCTTTCAACCGTGATCAACCAGTATTTTAGACTGCGCTTTTAAATGTGACCTACCACCAGTTGCTCTAATTTCAATACATATTTAAGTTCTCAAACAAAGTATTGTAAAATTTTAATCTGTCTCCAAACAATAGGATAATTATCATTAATAACATTTTAAATGACGTCATTATCTGGTAAATTTTGTTTTACTTATCATCTGTTAATATTACAAGAAACTATACTAGACAAGCATATGGTATGGCTGTTCGCATTACATGTAATTTAAATAAGCACTTACCGGTATGTAAACTCACTTCAGATCACAATAATTTGATGACAGATTAATTTCTTGTCTTACAGCAGTTACTCTAATTGATTCCATGTTATTTTTTGTAAATTAAGAAAGAGGTTCTGATATATTTAATACTTACAAGAGTCATCCTTTTCATTATCTGAGAAGCCTTCATCCCCTGTTGAATCTGATGACTGTCTACCTTGTGCTGCTCCTTCTGGACCTACAATATATAATACTATCAAATAACTCTTCCACAGAAAATCAAGTTACTGGATTAGCTTGTCAGGTTGCAATTTCCCTAATTAATGTATTCTAAAAAACAAAACTTAGATGACCCATCTTAGTGCCTATACATGGACAATGCATTATTGTTTAAAAGCACACAATACCGGTATATCCATCTTTATAATATATTGTACCTTAGTTCCCTTCAAGAAGATTTGGTATACTACATCATAATTACTGCTCAACATTAATTGGAATGTATATATAGAAGAATTTTGAAGAGTAAACAATAATCATCAGGTAAAAATATGCTGCTTCATACCTGGTTGACTTGGATTAGGATCTGGAGGGCTGTTATATACTGCAGCTGTGAAAATATAACATTTTAGTGTTATTTAAGCGATTCAGGTGCTTCTATTAGATATTGATCACAATTCATAACCAGGTAAATATGTACCAAGAAAACAACGGGATAAATGAATAATTGATATTTTTAGTCCTGCCGAGCCGAAGAATAAAACCATTTTATATCACGATATTGATGTGGATCAAAATAAGAACCAAAACAATTGGATAATGTGCGATGTGGATAATTAAGCATGACAGGTTACTTAGTGAAGCGACAAAAAAAAAAAAAAAAGAATCGCGATACATCGATTCAGCATCTTGAGATATAATATGAGAATTATGAGAAGGTGAATCGCTATACATCGATTTATGGATATATTGTGTCAGCACTATTTTAACAGGTATTTAAAATAAATGTCCTCTCATATTATCAGAACCTAGTATTTCTTTGCAATGTTACATACATTCACTTTGTTTCATTGTGAAATGTCCTATAGTTCTAATTATTACAGCAGAAAATAAACAAATCCAGATTATCAAGTAACATTTTCCTTATTTTCCGGAATTTGCCTTTCACACCTTTCGGCAAATCAAACACACCCAGCTACTTCATAGAAGACTCTGAATTTCAATAGTTTCAAGGTTTTTTATTGCAAGGGCAATACAAATAATTGATCAGGGACTCAAACATAATAGAGTTATCAACCTGTGAATAATTGAAGCACAATTACTTGACAAATAATGCACAAATCGAAAGGCTAATGTCTTTAAGTAGTTAAATAAACCATGCAAGTTTGATAAAAAAAACACACTACAGAGTTTACAGAGAGAGGCGATGACAATATACACAACATACTATTAATCATATTGTTATTGGTAACTCACCTTTTATTGCAGGATTCACACCCAGTAATTGAAACATGGCTGGATTCTGTTTTTCCATTATTTTGAAAAAAGCAAATGACCAGTCACTTTTTTTCCTTGGCATACTTCGAAATAATTCATCGCAGGCTGCTGTCGGTCCTATACTGTTAAAGATACATCTGATGACTTCAACATTGCGTTCTGTTAGATAATTACCCTGCCGCATTTCTTGTGCCACCTTAAGTGGATCGGTTATATGCTCAATGATCTCTGCTCGTAACAATTGAAGTAAGAATTCACAATACTGTCTTCCTGTCTGTTGTATATTCGACACTTCTTTATCTTCAAAAACCTCCTGAAATCTTTCAAAGTCTTAAAAAAAAAACAAAAAGAAGAATTAATTTAAAAACATTATCTGAGTTACTTAACTTCATCCTTTCAATATTGACTACTTTTCAGACAATGATTGATTTCTGACATTAACTTTTGGAGTTATGTTTATTTGTTGTGAAACAATTATTATTAAGTTATATTTTAATTAGGTTGCACCAGATTTCAAGGCTCTAATTGATCCCATGTTTTCGACCTACCAGTGTGAACAGGGTATATCACGCCTGTATCTTCAATAATCACTGTGTAACAGTATAGCTGTATACTTTAAAATTTGAGATCCCAGCATTAAAACATTTTGAGCATTCCATCATCATAATTAGTTCACAGATAGAAGCTTTAGTACTGCTTCACCAAAACATTGGAACAATTTACCTCAAAATATTTACTACAACAAAACTCTTACAAATCCCAATCAAATACCGAATTGTTTAAACTCTAGAGTAAATCTAATAGACATATATGCATTGTGCATGTACAGGTATAGTTTATTGCTTTAAAAGCATGAATATGCTAATGGATGGATTTGTAGCTCAAGAAAATGGACATTATTATTATCAATCTGAGAAAAAGCAAATATACAATTATTTCCATCACTAACTTTTGGAGTTTGTAATGAATCCATGTTTAAGGGGCATTAGATTAGGTAAGATTGGATAAAGAGCTGACAGTTCTAGCTATAGTAGTTAAAATTATAAATAATGAAAACAGAATATGCTAAAAATTTCAGCCAAATTGCTTCACTCTGAATCAAGATATTAGAGATTCAATTTTAAGCAAGTCTCTGTCGTCATTACTAACATTGGTATGATAGTAAACAAAGTCTCAATTATCCATTTTTCATTAAATTATCCATCACAAAATGTATTCAAATCCAGTAAATATCCCAGTCTAACGATAGCATCAAGAGTTGATTATTGTCTGGATAAGTTAATTAATGTCTAATTAATAATTTAGATTAAAATTAATTTCAGACTGAAAGATAGATCTGCAATAGACAGATTTAGCTCTTGTTTAATTCTCAATGAGCTACATTTTATTGATATTGGAAATAGCTAAAAATCAACAGGCTTACTAGTGGCAATACTATATACCGGAAAACACCAGAAAACAACCGGAAAACATCGGAAAACACCATTTTATACTGAATACCGGAAAACACCGGAAAAACACTAAATACCGGAAAACACCCTAAATACCGGAAAACACCCTAAATAGGTAACCCGGAGCCTGGTCCTCTGTGTGCGGTTTTGGACCAAGTGAGCGCCGATGAAGGAAGGCCAAGGTCATTACGATGTTTGTTTAACAAATAGCCCCCCACCCCCAAAAAATAAAATTTCCGATTTTTTTTTTCTCCCAAATTTTTTTGACGAAAAAAATTTTTGGTCACAAAAAAAAAAAATCGAATTTTTCCGAAAAATTGGTTTTACAAAAAAACATTCTGTAGAAAATAATTTTACAGAGAAAAATACTGGAAAAAAAAATTTGAATTTTTATTTGAGAGAAATTTGGGAGAAGAAATTGTTAAAAAAAATCTGAAAAGAAATTTTTCTTTGACCGTAGGTGATCGCTCGCTTGTATGTTAATGAACTTATTTCATCAGCGCTCACCTGGTCCAAAACCACACACGAGGATCAAACTCCGGGTTACTAAATAGGTACCGGAAAACTTAGAAGAGTAAACTGTGCCCAAGATTTGTTTAGAGAGCGCGCCGCGCCGCCCCGCTCCGGGAGAGATCATCGTCAGGGTTGGACGGGGTTGGAATTGTCCAGTCACGTGACGAACATAGATCTTCCGTTCCTCAACCCATATTATTTCCACAGTCATTGTCATTAATCACAAATTACGGGATTACTTGCAGGTTTACTTTGAAATAGTGCAAATGGTACTTTTCCATCTACAATCTTCAGATCAAAGGATGCAAGTTCTTACACAGTGCAGCATAATTTGTGCAACAGAAGACATCTTGAATATCGATTGTCGGAAAAAACATTTTCTCAGGGATATTTTTTTCTGAATACGCATTCGGTGTAAGTCTTCAGCCACCAGGAAGTGGTTAACATAGTAATGTTTTATTACGATAATAGTACATAAAACAAATTGGTTGCCCGAGGTTCTCGTGAAGAAAGTAGCCTCATCAGCTAGAGTCCTCTATTTCACAAACAAAAACAACAATTGCTTCCTTGAAAATTTATCGATCAACCCTTTTCACAAACGTCCAGCTTACCACTTCCCGTCAATGCAGTAAGATAGAATATGTAGTTTTCTCATGGACAATTGGGCGAAATTTGGGATTTCTCAAGGAAAACTGGTCAACAAGTTGGGGAAAAAAGCTCGAAAAGTAATCCAGAAAAAAATCCTGTGTGCGGCCCTCGGAATATGATGGAATATGTTGAATATTATTATGGTTCAAGTGATTATATTTGACCCTGGAATGAAAGTAAGCTCAGAAACAAGTAGATTTTTAGCCCTTCCAACGAGATGGATAGCTCTTGGAAAGGATAGACACTTTTCAGATTACAGCCTGTCCGAAAATTGCGTGGCATCCATTTCGTTTGGTGATTAGGACACATAGTGGTTAAACCTGGAACTTCAACTCAAACTATTCAGAGATTTATTATCTCGCTTTTGATGATACTTGCTGTTTTATGATGCGATTTTTTGTTACCTAGGGAGGAGTTGGCCTAGTCGTGCCTTCCACTAATTCGTACCACCCTGATGCCAGCGTTACTGGTAAGAATCAGGAGACTGGCGCAACCGGCATATAATGGGGCCCTCCGAGGGCAGTGTTTAATCTACTGAAATACTGAAATACTGAAATCTACTGAAATTTACTGAAAACTAAAATTAAAATACAAAATAAAATATGGTCAATGATGGAGGTAGACTGATTGCGTCTTTTAAAATATTCAAAACATAATAGGCAACAACAAAATTTTGGAGAAAAAAAATTGGATTTTTTAATTTTTTTTGGGGGGGTGGGGCTATTTGTAAAACGAACATCGTAATGACCTTGACCTTCCTTCATCGGCGCTCACTTGGTCCAAAACCACACACAGAGTACCAGGCTCCGGGTTACCTATTTAGGGTGTTTTCCGGTATTTAGGATGTTTTCCGGTATTTAGTGTTTTTCCGGTGTTTTCCGGTATTCAGTATAAAATGGTGTTTTCCGGTTGTTTTCCGGTGTTTTCCGGTATATAGTATGGCCCCTTACTAGAGTATACAAAATTTCATGTCATATATACCTTACGAAACTGATCAATGTCAATGACTGTGAAATCATTTAAATTTAATAATCATGATTAGATTCTAGAATGCCTATCAAGAATTGTGACTATAAATAAAATAACTGTTATAAGAAAAGTTAGTGTGGCATCACATCACAGAACATCCAAATTCCTCAAAGGTAAAATTATTACAGGACTTTCATTGCACAGTCCTGAGGGCAATATCCTACATTTATATAATCATTGATAATGTAAACAACAGATGCCCTCAAACAATTAATGTCAACATCAATAAGACTGGTAGAGGTATTGCCTTTTGTGTATCTCTGAGGCACCCAGATGCAAAATAACATAATGTCATGCCTATGAAATTTGCTCTAGTCAAATCAATTCAAGTTTTCTTTCACAAACCATTTATTTTAAAAGAAAAGATGTATTTACAGGTGAAAATATAACTTACTTTCTATTTTTAATGCCATTATAAATTCAGAAACACAGTTTGTTTCTTTTACCAATTGTATAAGTTTTCTAACAGCCTCATGTCTAGACACTGAATTCTCCAGCTTATTAATTTGCTCCTTTTGTTCCTCTGATTATAAAAATAACACATATTTAATTATGCCTCTAAACATGAAACCATTATATAAGAGATATAACGTTCTTTGGTTCTTCATTACATCTTATCTAGCTATTCTCAAATTCTAAAGGGCATTCCACACATATTTCAGTAAATAAAACTGTTAGGTTGGGTGGAGAAGCGCTTCTCGACTAGCAATTACAATGTGCGTAGATAAACATGTCTATAACTCAAAATATGCGTGCAATGACAACTTCTCGCTGTTATTCTTTTTTCTTTTATATGAGTTTGCATTGCGTGTCCCTTTAAAACCTGTTTAAATCAACATTTCATTTAAATTTGAAAAATAGTATCAATTTCCACCTGAAATAATACTTCAACAAGACAAAAAGTAGATTTTGCAAAATTCTAAATAAACATTTAAAATTCTTTCTTACTGCCTGAACTTACCATTAAGAGTATTTAAACGATTTAAAATCATATTTGGCTCAAGATATTCTACAAACTGAGGAGTGAATGCCTCAATTAAGTGTTGTTGAACCAGAGACCGATCCTCTGGCTCTTTTTCTGGTAGACCTACATTGGATGAAGCCATGTTATCAACCTGAAAATGTAATAATATGATAGAAATATTTATATAATTCCCCGCTCACTCATAAATTTGGGTAGGTGTATAAGAACCTTAGACTCATCTACTGTTCAAAAATCCAATCGAAGGCCTATCTAGATTAAAGATACATTATGGGAGATTCGATAACGAGTTGGCAGTTCTCACTATAATAGTTAACCAGCGGCTGCCAGGCAGGATACGCCCACATTTTGCAAGAGATGGATAGAGAACAAGCTAAACAAAAAGCGATTTTTCGTACAATCAAGGGCCATAATTCAGGAAGTTACAATCCGATATGAGCGAATATCGAAAGAAGCCAAGGTCTTTGGGTTATAAACTTAGATTTCAAGTTTCATCAAAATCAGAAGAAAATTGTCACCTCAGCCTTGATATTCCATATTTTTACGCTATTTGAATACGAGGGGCGGCCATTTTGTCTGTCAGTTTTGGTCCGATTTTCACGAAATTCAAACTCAACCATCCTTAAGGTGTAAAGGTGATATATTCAATCAGATATTTCAAAGTGATCAAGGGCCATAACTCTGGCAGTAATTATTGAAAATCGTTGAAAATCAAAAAGCTTTTTTGTCTCATGGCCTTAAACACAGTGCATAAATTCAAAGTCAATCAGATCTTTAGTCTCTTGAGTGCCCACAAGATTTTTCAAAGTGATAAGGGCCATAACTCTGGCAGTAATTATCGGAAATCTGTGAAAATCAATATGCTTCTTCGACTCATGACCTTAAACACTGTGTATAAATTTAAAGTCAATCGGATATTAACTTTAGCCTCTAGAGCATCAACAAGATATTGTGGATGCCGGACCGACAGTCGGGGTCAACGACAATATACAACCACATTTCAATGTGGGCGTAATAAAAAGGCTGGGGAAATTAGTTTCAGACAATTAGGACTAAACTAACCTTCATAAGCATGAGATAAACAAAGCTATGTAAAATGATTGAGAGACGGCATATCACAATGAAGACAGGGTGATTATGGTACACAGGCACTATATACTGTAATCAAGCAATAGTTTTATTTTAATCTCTTCAAGTGCTTGTGCTATAGACCAGACTACGTGCAAGCGAATTATTGAAATAAAATGGAAACATGTTAGTCCCGAAATGACCTAGGTTTGTGTCGAGTGGACGTTAAACCCCATTTATCCCTCTCTCACAGATAAAATAGGTCTATGTACCCACCTGCTATAGCCTGTAACTGACTGAAAACTAACATAGGCCTATAGCCTACCCATGCACCAATAAAACCCCAGCTAGAAACTAGAAAGTACCACGGAAACTCCCCTTATACCTTATAAATATTGCAGTTAATTTCAAAACCCGTTCACCAACAAGATTAACAGTTTCTCGGAATTTCTAATATAACATTTGTTCTTGGAACTACACAGAAAGTTTAGCTATGCAATTATTTGTTTCATTTTAAATAAATTGTACGCTCTACCAATCTGGATGTACACGGTGACGGTACAAAATTCCATTCATGATTCATGTCAGTCAATCAATATTGTCATTCACAAAATTCGCCTAAATATAGATTTTTACAATAAATTCAAATAAAACTCATATACTATTATTAATGAAAAGTGCAATAAATAAGTTATTTTGCGGAATGAGGTTACCTATTCTTTAAATCCACAATTTAGAGATGAGACAGCCAACAAAAATCGTTTCGCAAAATACCGTTTCTCGGATTTTAAAGCGAAAGTACAAGTAAAACGGGGATTTCCAATAAATCCGAGGAGCGCTTTGTATGCGTTTTATTGAGCAATTTTAACTTTTTAAAAATCATAAGAATTTTGTTTCTAAATATAGAAATGCTTTGGCAAATGCAATTAAAAATAAAAACATGTATTAATGGATCAATTATAAAATGAACAGATTGTTATCAAATGACAAAACCATGCATTGCTATAACTTCTCCCGTAGTTTTCACACGTGACCAGAAAGATAACTAAAAATAAGCATTACGTAATTTCTGATGTTCACCAATAGAAAGTTTCCCGCCATTGTCATTAGGTTTTTATCTCTGTAAGGTACGTCTGAAACAGCCTGACACCATTTACTTCAAAATCGTAAATAAAATGTCGTAGCTTTACAAATCAGCGACTTGATTCCTTTGGATATAATATATCTCTTTCAATGAAAATATATACATAATATACCAAGACCATTTATTTGCCATAATCTTGACTTCATTAGCCGGTTAGCCCAGGAATGTAGGACGTTAAACTCAATTTCATTTCATATTTGACACAAATCGCTGGATATACAATTCCTCGACTGTAGAAAGTGGTAATGCGTTAAACTGTTTCCATTAAATGAAAAACGGGGGTTCAAAAAGTTAACCTTAGCTAACCTTATAGAATAGTTTTCTATAGAATTCCGAAGGAAAATATATCATAGTGTTCTGTGCAGCCCCGTAACCAGCCGGGGACAACAGGGGGTCGGGGTGTCACTCGAAAAAGTACCCCCCCCTCCCCCCGAAAAAAAAAATGCCGACCAAAGTTCTTTAAAATACCTACTGTTTGTAATTATAGACAGCAGTCAGGGATCACCATGTGGAGTATTGATTCGGGGACGTGGCACCTTGCACCCAGTCTCATATTATTGGTTATGTTCTGACATCTATCTGCCATATATTTTGTTCTAACATCTATCTGTCATATTTTTACTACTGACTTGGCCAATGGCCCATTCTCATGGGGTCCCTGTCTTGTCACTATGTTCATGTTAAGACTTTGGTAGAGAACGTTTTTCTGAGCTACAAAACGCGTTTGCGGCTGTCCAATTTTCAAAATTATCCGGGGGAAGAGCAGTGATGGGTCATGGCGAAGGCAACAGAGGCAATAAATGCCTTGGCCCCGGCGATTTAGTGACAAAAAGAAAAAAAATATATTTTTTTTATTTTGTAGAAATAAATAATGAAGACCATTTCCCCCAAATCGTGAAACATATTGGCCTTTTTTCGATGAATTTTGAAATTATCAGGTAAGGGGACCCCAAGGGGCATCGGTCAGAAGAAAAAGAAAATTATATCAACGATTCCACGTTGGGTGGGTTGGCAGCGGGATGTTGATATCAGAAATGTTTCCTTAACCTGAAACCCGAAATATTATTTCTGTTGGACAGGTAGCGGTCTTGTTAATTGTCCAATATTTCCGTCGGGCACCGGTTTCTCACTCAACCAGCTCGCTTGACAAGAATCGCGAACCGATATCATCGGGCCTGGAATGGCAGTGGGAGCCCCTTTCCACCGCCCCCCCCCCCCGCTTCCCCCTCGTCCGGGCGAGGAGAACCCCTTGTCCCCCCCCCCCCCAGCCGCTACGGGCCTGATTCTATGGATTTGTTTTATAGTGTTTTTTGTAGGTAAGAATAGTATACTATAGTTTTCTGTATATTATAGTATAATACGAAAATGTGAAAGTTATATGAAATGTTTTTGAATGCTAGTCATCTTATTTTAGTAGTTCGTTAACGCTATAACAATAGCTAAAATTCAAAGTCGTGCTTCACTTTTTCTTACGTAAGAAACTTATAAAAATAACGTCCCTAGAAAATTCTCAAGACCATTCTTACGTAAGCACAAGTCAAGTATAAGTCTAAGCACATTGTGACTGGTAAAGTTTACCATAAACTGAAACTACGACGCTCTTTAACGTCATAAAAACAACTTTGGTATGCGAATTACGTCATAAATTTGTCGTCTGCTTCATTGAAGTCATATATATACATGGCTGATTTAGATGCATTTGACATGTCCCCTATACACATATAAAATACAAACTAACTGAATGATTGTGAGAGCGCCTGATCTTAAAGTAGCCTGTGTGTTTGTAGTCTATTGTTTACTAATTGGCAAATAAATAAAGTGGTTTCAGGGTAGAAGCGAAATTTTCTATAGCATTCTTAATTTCTTCTGGGGAAGGATTTTCTCTGTCTCTTTGGTATCAAAGGGTGTCGAAAATGCCGTCGAATAACTCAACGGTCAGCCATCTTTTTGAAGCAGAAACAGACTTAAGGTTGGTAAGCAAGCCCTATACCTTGCTTGGGACTTGTGCTTAGATTGACTATGTTTAAGAACGAAGTTGTGCTTAAGTTTTTTCTTGGAACGCATAATAACGTTCTTGTGCTTACAATGAAATCTACTTAAAATCTAAGCACAAGAACGTTCTTAAGAATTTTCTGGGAACACAAAATAAGGTAAGTTTACTTAAATGCAAAGTCTACTTAAAATCTAAGCACAAGAACGTGCTTAAGAATTTTCTAGGAATCGGGCCCTGGTACTGATGTGACAGAATGTTAAGTTTTACCACTTATTAGTTAGTAATATCAAGAGGCCATAGAATTTGCCCCTCACGACCTTTAGCATGGAGATGCCGACTGCAGAACAAAACCCCAGTATTTTGACAGCAGCGTCTTATTTTTAAAACCTGCAAGTCTAATTTCCTGTTTAATCTATCAATAAATGTTTGTTTTCAATAATCTTAATGTCTATTTGACAAGTTTTTACATATTTTATACATTTCTTTTAGATTCCAGCCCCCCCCCCCCAAGAGTGCAGGAAATCATACCTGACTCGATGAATGTATGTACTTTTTTTCTGTTTTTGGTCACGAAGTGGTGTAGCGGTTTGGTAGTGTGGGGAATTCAGCTGCAATCTTGCTCAGGACCCACATAGACCTGGGCCCGATTCCTAGAAAATTCTTAAACATGTTCTTGTGCTTAGATTTAAGTAGACTTTGGATTTAAGTAAACTTACCTTATTTTGTGTTCCCAGAAAATTCTTAAGAACGTTCTTGTGCTTAGAATTTAAGTAGACTTCATTGTAAGCACAAGAACGTTATTATGCGTTCCAAGAAAAAACTTAAGCACAACTTCGTTCTTAAACATAGTCAATCTAAGCACAAGTCCCAAGCAAGGTATACGGCTTGCTTACCAACCTTAAGTCTGTTTCTGCTTCAAAAAGATGGCTGACCGTAGTGTTATTCGATGGCAATTCAGACACCTTTTGATATCAAAGAGACAATTACAAGACTGAGAAATCCTTCTCCAGAAGAAATTTCAAATTAAGAATGCTAGGTCTATAGAAAATTTCGCTTCTAGGCCTACCCTGAAACCATTTTTGCCATTAGTAAACAATAGGCTACAAACACACAGGCTACTTTAAGAGCAGGCGCTCTCACAATTATTCAGTAAGTTTGTATGTGTCTGCGTTTTTTATCTTGTGGCACATGGACATGTCAAATGCATCGAAATGAACCTTTATATATGACGCCAATGAAGCAGACGACAAATTTAAGACGTAATTCGCATACCAAAGTTGTTTTTATGACGTTAAAGAGCATCGTAGTCTCAGTTTATGGTAAACTTTACCAGTCACAATGTGCTTAGACTTATACTTGACTTATGCTTTCGTAAGAATGGTCTTGAGAATTTTCTAGGGACGGTAGTTTTATAAGTTTCTTACGTAAGCAAAAGTGAAGCATGACTTTGTGCTTACTTTAAGAATTTTCTAGGAACCGGGCCCAGGAGCCCAGGGGGTCAACCTAGCTGAAAAGTGTACCAATTTTCTCCTATGTGGTATCAATGTATGTATATCTGGTATCATCAGAACGTAAGTCTGCCGGGTTTCTGGTGGTGGGGGTGGTATTCCACGCCCTAAATGGCATGAGCCCCAACTAAGCTTGATTAGCTCAAAAGTGTACCAAAACCCACCGCACAAACTGTCTGGCAGTGGTCATTCATGATTCCTGTGGTGGTACTGAACAACTCCAAAGCTGTTTTAGGTGGTACAGATTTGAGCTAATCTAGCCTAGTTTTGGTCTGGAAATTAGATAACTCTTGCCCATCACTACAAATGTCTGGCAATTACATAGCTCTGTCAGGAGTACCCCATCACTAGAAATGTCTGTCAGAGTGTTTTTGTAATACCTGAAGATGTACGATACATTAATGTGCGATTTTCATGTGGTACACTTTTGAGCTAATCTAGACTAGTTGGGAGTCATGGCATTTTAGACTTGAAATACCACACCCACCACCAGAAACCCGACAGACTTACATTCTGATGATACCAGATATACATACATTGATACCATATAGGAGAAAATTGGTACACTTTTCAGCTAGGTTACCCCCCTGGGATCCCGCTCTAACACCCCGGTATTTTCTCTGCCACCAGTGATCTATTGGCCGACCGCAAGCTTTCAAAAGTAGAGGAGAGACGGCGGACTAGCTAAAATAGTTGTGTAATGTTCGGCTCTCTCTCTTCGAACAAACGGAACAAAACTGTATAAAACTATCAAAACATATATACAGGTAAGTTTTGATGGACTAGAGGAACTCTTTTATATTTTTGTAAAGAGGCGAACTGTCGCAGTTCAAGCCGTTCTGTGATCTGTTTTGTGTAATAGCTTTAAAGCTATACTGTTCATTAACTGCAAGCAGTTTAGAAACTGTACCTGTTCATTAGACGCAAGCGTCTAAAGTCTGTGACTGCAAGCATCTAAAGGTTGTGCGCTCAAAGAGCATTTCTCAAGAACTGTAGGTGTATCAATTAACGCTTCGCTTCGACCCTAGCGATGGATATCCTAGTGTGAACAACTGACCGAGATTACTAGTGCTGGATATCCCGCTCGCCTGGCCGCCTCGACAGAATGGCATCTCATCTGCAGATTCATTCCCAGCTCATGCAAAATTATAAATTATACGCGCCTTAAGTAAATAAAGTATACATTGTCAACAATATAAATTTAAAGTAGCTAAGTCTCTAACTCAGTATCGTCCAAAATCTTCGACATTGAAAACACAAATTATTTGTCAATTTAAAGCAACTTTGATGTTGTGATCTTACCGGAAAAAGATGGACTTCTGATATCCAATATTTAAGACAAAATAAACATTTTACGATTGGTACACGAATCGTGTACCATGATGCGTTTCAGTGCTATTTGTAATAAGGGACTCGAAAAACGAGGCAAGGCAATTTCTACAGGTTATGTCAAAAGTTGACGTCTTATTCTTATCTGGAGACTATGCGCAATAAATATTATCGGTGTAGACTGGAATAACCAGACGTTGGAGATTGCCATAAAATTGAGACTTCTGGCGTATTTCGCCGAACATAACTGATTAGAAATTAAAGTAAAAACAGAAACGATTGAATGTAAATCAGTTTATATACATTCACATTACATTATTATATGCGTTGCGACCCATTAGCGATTTAGCCTCTATAACATTATTTAACAGATGGTAGGAACGTAATTTATGATAAAGTTAGGTCGAAAAGTAGTTATAGTAAGTATACATGTATATCATTACTTAATTTTTAAATGACTCAGTTGAATGCCCACTCAGCATTAGAAATCAATTATTACCTCCAGTTAGGTCGAAAAGTAGTTAGCAAGTATGACATGATGTAATTTATATATGACTTAGTTGAATATTGATTTGTAGGCCTCATTTTGGTTTGAGTGCATGTGTAAAGCAGTGCACACATTAGCCGAATCGTTCGGCCGAACCAATCGGCCCCGAATTTTATTCGGCCGAATGGGTGGACACACTAGCCGAATGCTTCGACAGATTCAACCTGTCGATTGCGTCACCTTTCACGTCACATCATTAAACATGGCGGCGTCTATGTCTTCAATCTATCACGTGACTTCTCGATAATGAATTCTATATTTGGCGAAGCGGACACACCAGGCGAATATAATTCGGCCGAATATTTATATCAAACCTGTTTGATTCGGGCGAATCATTCGGACGAATAGAAATTCGACCTAATGACAGTGGAGACACTAGGCGAATCTCGACGCCGATTGATTCGGCCGAATCATTCGGCTAGTGTGTCCACCGCTTAAGAGACTCCGGCAAACCGATCCATTTTCCCGAGAAAAAAAACCCCGACCCGCTCGGCAAAAAAATCGGCCCATTTGCTTATCTGTACTCAAAAGTCCCCGCTGTGCGCCCCTGGCTATGTCCAGCCCGTGGACACAGCCACTTAAATATTATTATGTGTTTCAATATAGCCTAACGTGGGTGGCTTACCTGAATTTTAAACAACCAATAAATCCTTTAGTCCAAGAGCGTTGAGGGGTGCGGGGTCCTCGCCCTGCCTAGCAAGAGATTTTGAATATTTAAATACGCCGTATTCAATTAAAATAAAAGTAAAATTGTTCTTTTATTAGAAGTCGGCACTATAGGCCCATTTGGCAAACTATTAAAGATACATTATGTAAGATTTAGATAAAGAACTAGCCATTCTTGCTATAATAGTTCGAAAGTAGATGATGTAAAATGAATAATTTGAAAATTTCATTCAAATTATTCTATTGCAAGCGAAGATATTAGCCTTTGAAGGTTTGACAAACGTGTGCAATAATTTCAACCACCGTACTGGTTGATCGAAGCTAAGTCTCGGTCCTCCAAATATGATTAAATCAAAGTATCGCTGAACCATTCTAATCTATTTAATATCGGAGAAATCTGATGCCATCGACAGTTGATTAAGGCCTAGATCAGTTAATTAATGTCTAAACAATACTTTAGAAAACATTTCAGGCCTAAAGAAAGACCTGCAATAGGCAGATTTAGCTCTTGCATAATGCATGTTCTCTAACATTGCCCGTCAGCGAAAAAGGTCAGATTGCCCGAGAGTTAAGGAGCCCCCCCCCCCAACCCACCCCCTGCAGGAAATAGCATTTGCGTGTCATCTTAATTGCTCCCCTCCGGCTTCCCATATTATTCTGTTCGTCTCGAAATGCGTGTGTTTAATGGATTCTAACACCCTTTCATTCCCTTGTCTCGAAACATATTTAGACCCATACAGGTCACCCATTTAGGTAATCCGACTCACAGGTTATTTATTCTGTGAACGATTTAACTTTTATGCTTTAGTATGACGAAAGATAGGACCAAAGCGATGAGCATCTGCAATGGGGGGTGGGGGTGGGGTCTCGTGTCTTTTATATTGTTGCATTCATTCTTTCTTCTATTTTCCATGCATTCATCCAATCAAGCTAGGCTACCATGCTTAAAGTTTATGTAAATTATATCTGAAGCTATATGCCTACATCTTATAATTTGACTATAGGCCCACCATTGGTGAAAGATGGTTGACGTCCGTGAAGTTAAAAGTTAATACTACGATAAAGGCGTTGGTGAAAGAGCAGTTTCCACACATTCGATCAGCTGATGGTTGTCCACTGGTATTGGTAACACTGTGGCGCAATCTGTTTCACAGTGATTACGAGTCTAGTAATATATTGTAGCGGTCTAGCGAAAATTCACTGCTGATCAGTGTGATTGTGGCGTTGGTGAAACCGTCTCGTTGGAAGACGTTTGCCTGAGGTAAGTCTCCCAATCAGAGTTGTCTCCCCATATCGAAACTTGAATCCAATGACCTTATTGTAATCTATTGTGTTTGTTTTGCTCTAAAAAACCGACAACTTGGTAGGCCTACACAATAACTAACCATCTGATATTATCATATTCAGAAATTATGTGGTAGGCTGTCCATTACAGTTTACACACAGGACACTTAGCCCCCCCCCCCTACTAAAAACCTATCATTCATCAATATTATTACAATCTGTAATAATAGTAATATCTTAATACTTATTTCATAATTTTAAGAAATTTATATTTTATGTGCTCTTATTCAGAGAAAGGGGGATTATTTGTTGAAAAATAAAAAATAACGCTAAGCAAGAAAGGACACTCAAGGTACGTCCAAGCTACAAAGAATTATTATCAATAATTGACATTAATTTCATACCCCCTCGATATTTAAATAGAAGAACATTGAATAACACAACTTTATTTTTAAATGGTTGTCATTACTAAGTGATATGTCAATCAAATTGTAAGACCATAAATAAAATGTATACAAGCTAAGATTCCCTTAATAAATTTTTTATTAAATTATATTAAATTACTTTCCATTAGGAATACCATACTTTTAAATAAATATAATTAATTGATTAATTGATACATAAATGTATTAAACTATGAATTACAAATTCTTGCAACCACTCGTGGGTTTAATTATGTTGCAAGAAACATGTAATAAACTATGAATTACAAATTCTTGCAGCCTAATCACTAGCATATTTATACAAATCAGTTGTATTAAAAATATCTATACAAAAAAAAAGAATTACAGTAGATACATTTATACAAATCAGTTATACATATAGTAAATACATATATGTATTCAATCAATATACAAAGCAATATATCTGGACTTGTTTATGCAAATCAATTACATTAAACATATTTATGCAAATAATATTAATACATTAAATAAATACATTTAAACAAACTCATAATATTATATTAAATATATTCATACAACGCAAATAATATTAATACATTAAATAAATACATTTAAACAAACTCATATTATTATATTAAATATATTCATACAAAGCAAATAATATTAAATATATTTAAATAAATTAATTATTTTAAAAATAATTCTGTAAATATTAAATAACTACAAAGACTGATTATTAGGCTACGAAACATACAACCAAGGAAGCTAAATTGTCCGCCAGATCATAAAGGCTATCACATTGTAAACAGTGCATGATAATGTACTATTAAATTTAATCATAACCTTAGAATTTAGAGTATCCAATGGGTTATGGACTACTGGCCAACAGATATGGGTGGCCAACATCTTATTCTAACATCCTTAAAACAGAAATAATGGAGACTGTGCACGTCTTTAATAAAATACTTATCATCGAAATGTTAATCATCGAACTCGGTGAACCCCAAATTTGAACTTTCTACCTCCATATAAACATCGTTATTGTTTTAAATTTGATGTGACAGACATATGGTCAAACCAAAACGCAGGGGACAATTTTAAAAATTAAACAAAAAATCGCATAAAATATAGCAAAGCAACCTGCGCTATAAGAAGATCACAAACTTGATTGCTTGAGTATGCGACCAACCAATTAAACGCCATTAAAAGGATTCTTGTACTTAAGAATATAATATTGTGCTAGCATCACCATATTATTGTATCTGAGTACAAGAACGCTTAATTATTTGAAGACACAGCATAAAATAAATGAAATGAAATGGGGTTTAACGTCCTACTGTTCTGCTCCTATACTGGGCTAATGAAGACGGGCATATGCTATGAGGAAAATTTTTGCCCGGGCAGCGGCACTATCGCCTACTCTTATATCGAATTCCAACTGCCAAGGGATCTTTTACGTGCATTCCAATGTTTACACGGGACTTTGGTATGTGAAGAAGTTAAGGTTTGACATATTAACCCTAGACAAAATGACATCAGATTAAATAAATTCCATGCGGTTTGGCTCCTTTATTGTCTTCAATGAATAAAAAATTATACACTTGCTTCATCTATGTCTTTTTCATTGTCATCAAATTGTTTACAGGCTGCATCGTTATCAAAAGGCGCTTCATTGTCTTCCGCTACCTGATCAAACATATACTTGTAGTCATCTACTTCCATTCCTTGGACAAGGAAAGGACACTTCTTCCATTTTTTATAGTGTGTCACTTGGTTACCATCAGTTATGCACTGATAGCTATTTATTGCTATTGAGGGGAATATACAACCCCTGTATTTAAGCAGTCTACCCAAATAATTACGGCATCGCTTACAAACGATTTTCTCAGCTTCTTCAATGCCATCAATTATTTTGGGCGAAATTTTACAAATTCCAATTTTTACATTTTCCATAAAATTAGGATCAATAATAACACGATACATTTTATGTAAAATGCGGATATGCTTGCTGTCAACAGTGAGCTCTCTACAGGTTGCACACTGAAGTATGAAGTGAGCGTTAATCTTTTCCTCTGACATGCTCTTTTTTGCCGCTTCCTCAATTTCCATATCTTTAATTGCCTCCCTCTGATACTGGCTAATTCGTAGGTCTATATCTTGTTGTGGTAATTTTTGTATTTGTTGAATAGCTTCTGTCATCATTTTAGATCGCTTTACATTTGTTTGTTCACGTTGTACGATCTCTTTACTCCCAAGTAACAATGACACACCTCCCCATTTTCTACTTCGACCTGGAATAAATTACAATGAGGCTTAAATAGGGCCCACCAACAGCAAAGTCGCCTATAATGGTTCTTAAGTCAACATCAACATGTCCTGTTAATTCCAGATGTAACTAACCATAATTAATTACAAGGGCAATAACTCTAAAAGTATTTATTAAAGAAATTCGCCATCTCACTAATATAAAAATTTCAAGCAGATGGGATAAATATTGGAAGATAATGCTTGTTCTCATTTCATGTAAATGTTGATTATGTATCTGTAATTTGACATGGTGTGATCGAGGTATCATTTACATACACTTTCCAATTGTCATCTCTCAATTATTAAAGTTCCACAATATATTATTTTACGATCATGGCAAAACACCGTATTATATCTATTGTTGATGCATAACTAGATAGTGGTAGTAAATATTTTGAATGGAACATAACATAATGTTGTGATCAGATAAGGTATTTTAATAATGATGATATTCTTTCATTCAGTTATCAAAAATCTTAATTATTTTTACGACATTCTGTATGGTTCGTCAACGTTGACATGCTTTGAGAGTATGTTCACAGATGAAGAGCTTATCGCCCCAACAGAACCACTGTGCTCCACCTGCCATAGCGCCATAGCGCCATACACGTGGGAGGGGTTCATTGTCAAATTTCACAAACGGCCAATCAGCTTTCTGTAAACTTGTACCAATTTACAGGAATTCGAGTTACACCCCAAACGATTAGAAATCGGCTTCATGCAGCCCATTTGCATGCCTCCATTAACTCGCCAGCACATGGCAAACAGGCGTCAATGGTGTAGGCAGCGTAGAATTTGGGGTAATCGTCGATGGGCGCGTGTAATGTTCTCAGATGAGTCCAGATTTACTCGACATTTCACCGATAGGCGTCCTGCGTTTGGTATGAGCGTCATGCTAACGTTAACGTCAGACAGCATGGCAGATTCGGGCGTGGGTCTGTTATGGTGTGGGGAGGAATCACCATGACTGGCAGAAAGGATTTGCATATGGTTCAAGGAAGGGTCACTGGTGTGTACTACAGTAACCACATCCTGGCACCGATAGTTCTGCCCTTTGCTCAACGTGCAGGTCGACGTTTCATCTTTCAAGATGATAATGCCCGTGCCCACCGCGCTCGTGTCCTGAATGACTACCTCCAGCGTCACCATATTGTCCATATGCCTTAGCCAGCCATAAGTCCTGACCATTCCCCAATAGAGCATACCTGGGGATTTAAGACAAAAATCAAAAACGTCCATTTTCACTTTTGACAGTGTATCTTTTTGCGAGTGAAATGGGGCCGTCAGATAAGCCGCCCATATGAACTGTTTATGTTCATGTGTAGGCAATTGGCCTTTTATTAACAGGTTACCTCTAATAAAAACAGTAGTGCATTTCCGCAGTTTTGTGTTGTTTCTGAATATCCCCTACTTTTTTTGAAGAGTATGTTTTAACAGAAAAACTTTTTATTCAAATACAAGCCAGATATATACACATAGCCTTTCAGTAATTTGAAAAAAAAGAGAAAAAGAGCTGGGGAGAAGGAGTGGTGGGTCGCTTGCGCGTTGTGGTGTCTATCAGTGGCAGGAGACCGGAGTACCAAGAGAATACCCACGGGGCGACCCTACACGTACAAACTGGAAACCGAAACCACACCACTTAAACCAATGCCAGGCTTTATGATCTAAAACGCATGCGTTAAACCATTCGGCCATTAAATCCCGCTAAATGAAATGCCGGTTACCGTCCTACTGTTTTGCAGCAACCGGGCTATGAGGAAAGTTTTGATGGACAATCGCGTTTTCACCGACTCCTCATCGAATTATCTCATCGCATACCTTAAAGTCTCATTGCGTCATTGCCCACTACCAAGAAAAAAATTTTCTTCTCAATTTTGAATTCCACTACAAATTCAAAACAAGCATCAAGCTTTGAGAATTACAATTTAAATATGAATTTAACTCTGGTTAATTTGTGATCTAAATATCGTGAAAGTATTTTGACCCATATACTCTACCACAGTTTTTTTAAATTCCCTCGAGAACACTGAATTTTCGATACAGTACGTCCTTAAGACCACTAAACAATGTCACCAAGTTTTAAGATATTATTAGATAAAGAACGTTGTCCTTTATCCAGTTCACATGCTAAAACGTGTCAATAATGATAACTCTGCAAATGCATTCGAAATTTAAAATCCAAAGATTTTGATATTATACCAAGGTCGGTTTTTGAATCATAATTAAAATCATAAGTAAAATATATGTTCACCTCTAGTTTGTACTGTTGTGATGTCATTTCCAATACGATTGTACCTTATTACAACATTGCATTCTGGTATATCTAGACCTTCTTCTGCCACACTTGTTGCTATTATTAGTTTAATCTTTCCATCGCGAAATCTTCCAATGATTGCATTCTGCTCAGACTGCGTAATACCTGGTGATATTAAAGAAATTATACATAACATTGATCATAAAATAGTCGTGTTGCAAATTCTGTGAGAACCCAGCTGGCAGCTGCCCTATATTTCATTACGCAAACAACATATCTGTAAAATAATAAATATCTGGCTTCCAAAAGTCTAAAATTCTAAGGAGGTTTATGTGGTTCAGTGAGTAAGCCGATAGCACCCTGGCCGGAAGGTGCCTGGTTTGATCGTGGTGTTGACCGAACAAGTTTTCCACCCTGCTTTCCCCATATCAGTGGTGCAGAACTGAGGACCTGGGAAAGACCAGCGTTTAGTCGTTCGTATAGGATGAAAACCGAGATCCTGTGCGCTTGGAACTTGATAAAGAGTATGCGGATACAACGCTGGCAGGGCAAAACTTCCTCGTATGCCCGTCTTCACTAGCTCGGTTTAGGACAGACAAGTGGGACGTTAAAGCACATATCAGTTCATCTGTTTAGAAATTTCGAAAGACCATGTCTGCTTGGTAATGTGCATGACATTCACCCCTAACACTGATAGATGATCAACAAAATATCCTTACCTCCGTCATCTTCACGAGCCCCTATTCCAGTAAATGCCTCTGCATTTAAACATCTCATTTCTTCATTTGTTGAATGTCTCAACCAGTCACGTAATGCATAACAAGTGGCTCGAGTTTGAACAAATATTATACCTAAGGATTCAGGGCCATTCTCTCTGCGTAATTCCATTAGATTATCTTGTAATATTTTCAAGTTTGGATTCTTATCATTTTGTTCATCTGTTCGTAGCTTTGTTTTCAGTTCTAATCAAAAGAAGATAATCGCATGAGATAATTTCAAACTGGACAACATGTAAATGAGCGAATCTGTGACAAAATCACAATATGAACTATCAGGGTGTTATTAGTGTTTTTTTCTTTTTGGCGAGGATGTGCAATGCAATATTGACCTACTTGATCGAGGAATCTGATAGGCTCTCCGGCTGGGTCAGTAGCCAATCGAAATTAGTGCCGAAATATGCAGGGATTGATAAGATTAAAGCGAGATCAAGCCTTCTATTGAAGATGGGTTAAACCAGACTAATTTCAGCCGTTAACTGAAGGGGCAAAACTTGTGGCCAACCACTTTGGCGTTGTTACCAAGCAAGAAATTATTCAAGGAATCTGATAGGCTCTCCGGCTGGGTCAGTAGCCAATCGAAATTAGTGCCGAAATATGCAGGGATTGATAAGATTAAAGCGAGATCAAGACTTCTATTGAAGATGTGTTAAACCAGACTAATTTCAGCTGTTAACTGAAGGGGCAAAACTTGTGGCCAACCACTTTGGCGTCGTTACCAAGCAAGAAATTATTCAAGCATATCTCACTGCCTTATACCTCTATAAGATGTTGCTAACTTCCTCTCTACATCAGAATGTACATTTTTGTCTAAATTTTCTGTAAGTTTCTTCTCAAGATATGCTAACACATCTCGTAAACGTACCAGTTCGTGTATTCCCAAAGCAGCATTATATACCTAATTTTAAAAAAAGGAATTTAAACCTTCATATACGTATTCTAATTCTACTTACGTGATTGTGTTGATGAGCCACACACGATATCTACTAGTAACAGTGATTTAAAAATTCAAGTTTTGCTCCCTATGAGGCAAATATATTCGTATGCATTTTTAAATAATGTTGATCGCGTATTATCTCAGAATGTTACCAAATCATCTGGGTAATTGTTATACTACTGGCTGGTCTGTTCTGCGTAAACTTTCTATCACCTAAAGCGTTCATTTACATATATATAATATTGATAATATAATATATTATGTCTATCGAAATGGATCGAAGTTCATCTGGCAGATAATTTCCATTTTTCAGATGCAGCTGTGAGAAAAGGTCTGGCCCTGAAAGGTATTTCTTTATGAACTAGTTATAAAACATCCCAATGCAGGTTGTAAACCTTCTTCGGCGGCTTTGATCTTTTAGTCTTTGGTGTTCAGCATTCAACCGACCGTCGATATGCCACGTTTGAAAGTAACAAAGAAAAGGACAGGAAAGTCGGAGCAGCCTAAAAGTTCATCAAGTAAGTTTCAGCCTACTCGTGGTAAAATAACAATGCCCTATATGCAGAAAAAACTGTACAAGTGATCAGGACTGCATTCCTTGTAATCTCCGAGTGAAAGTTTCAAATATTAGCCATACAATTTAGCTGGATTAAGTCAGTATGACGCTGGCAGAGCATCTCGTAAAAGGGTCTCTGGATGGACTGAGGCGATTATCTAACCGCCTGCTATTTAGAGATCATCTAGAGCCATGATAGTGTCAAAATCTTACAGAGCAGTCAAAAGAAGACATGCGTGGCCATTTCTGCGTTGATCGGGGGTCCAGTTGTGGAAAGTTACCCTAATTACCCTGATTTGAATTATGGACGCAATATTCCGGCGAAGTGATCACCTTTCAAAATCGGCTTTGGCCTTAGAGCAATCAGCTTATACCTCAAATTTATTTATTTTCTAATAATTGTACCTGGAAGCGATGTCGCAATCGAATCGACAGGCATTGGTGGACTGCGACACACGGACCATCAGTGGTGAACTGGGCCACAGACGATATGTGGTGGACTATGACACAATAGACTACCAGTAGTGGAATATTACACACTAGATCATCAGTGGTGGACTGGCCTACACAGACCATCAGTGGTGGACTGGCCCACACAGACCATCAGTGGTGGGCTATGACATAATAGACAATCAAATGTGGACTGGTCCACACAGGCAAACAGTGGCGGATTTTTCGGTATTTACGGTTTTTCGGTGATAAGTATCAAAAAAAATTTTTCGGCTTTTTTCGGGTTTCTTTTCCGGATTTTTCGGGATTTGTTTCGGTATTTTTCGGATTTATTCGACATGTAGTACAGGCGGGTTTTATTGACATATACATGTAGTACAGGCGGGTTTTATTGACAAGGGCAATAACCCCGTCCGATAAGTGATGCGACAAATGCCCTTGTTCGAAGGATTAACACAATATCTTAATAATTATATTCCGTAGAACTGGATAACACCGTTAACGGAAACAAGGGATGCGTGTTGTGAAGTAGGCAGATTTTAGTTCAGGGAAAACATTGTGATTTATCAATGAGTGAAAAATGGGCGACCAGACTTGATTACTTACTACCAACTGCCTAGCTACGACAACCATTGTACGTGCTAGGCTTTTTTCTTCAGCAGTTTGGGTATTAAGTTCCATAGCTGATTGTTTGATGTTTACTACCCATTGGCCATAAGCCTGGCTGGTAATTTCTTTTGGTCGTTTTCTTAGTATTGTTGAAATGTCTTCATTTTTCAATTCATCTAAAAAAAATAATATTAAAAAGAAGTAGGCTTATTCGCCTATCATTTGGATACTTTAGGCTTGGTGCCTAGAAACTCTACTATAATACTTATTTGCATAACCAGATATCTCACATTTCTACAAGATGGATTCGATTAGGCTATATCATAATAAAAAAAATACCTGTCTATGAGTTGGTACCTTTATTATATACAATATGCTGTTCACGTAATTGTACAAGAATGTCTAAACTGTCCCAAATTGTTCCGTCTGTCTCAGTGGGCCCTATCAAGTTTATTTTAAGAAATCGGTATGAGCACTAATCAAAAGATGAGACAGAAAAGTAACCCGACGGACGATTGATGAACAGGGGATATGACATATACAAACCAACAATAACCACCCATAAATGTATCGCTACTGTAATTTTTCATTTTCAAACATGCTTACTTTATACTGCCAATAATGTAGAAAAATTAACAGCCTTATCATTTAAATAATTTACTGTGATATATTCTGAAACTTAATACTGCCAGTAATGTAGTAAAATTAACAGCCTTATCATTTAAATAATTTACTGTAATATATTCTGAAACTTAATACTGCCAGTAATGTAGTAAAATTAACAGCCTTATCATTTAAATAAGTTACTGTAATATATTCTGTAACTTAATACTGCCAGTAATGTAGTAAAATTAACAGCCTTATCATTTATATAATTTTACTGTAAAATATTTTGAACATACCATTTGCCTCAAATAAATGTTTCTCAATATCTTCCATTGTTGAACAGATCTCTTTCCTGGCCCAATCCTGGCAATTTCCCGGTAACACCGCAAATCCTAAGACATAATTTAAAACAGATATATCAACGAACAATTTAACAAAATAAAGCATGTTGATATACTTTATCTACTATATATAGTGTATTCTAAAACAAGAGCACAAGTGGTCTTCAATTGTTCTTCCAGTTTTATCAGACATGCATATCCTAGATTGAATTAAAAGATAGCAGAATTAGCTGGCCATTCGAGGCATCTCTGCTACAGCCTTTGCATCTTGTTTAATGAAATATCAAACTCACCAACCGCACCTACAACATTTACACTTGTTAAAGACCGATGTATCTGCACCAAACCCAGTGCACAAAGCAAATCAACATATCAATTAATCATTTTATTTTTTAGTCAAATCGACGCGTTCTAGTCATTTTACGATGGCAGTGATGTAATACTAGTAAAACATAAATGACAACAAAGAGATACCAATAAAACGTGACGAGAATGGAGACAGAGAATTGATAAACAGAGAATGGAGAGAGATAATTAAAGATATATTATGAGAGATTAGATAAAGAGATGACAGTTCTCACTATGATAGTTAAAACTAAATAATGTAAAGGGAGTTTGCTGAAAACTTCAGTCAAATTGATCCACTCTGAACCGAGATTTTAGCGATTGAATTTTCGGCCTAGCCTCGATCATCATTACTAATGTCAGTACGATAAAAAACATAGTCTCGATTATCCATGTCATGATTAAAACATGAATGAAAGTAAAGCAGCTAATCTGGAGTAAACCAGTAAATAACGCAGGCTTATGGAAGGGGATCGACGCCACATTAAAAGACATGTAAACACGAGTAGACGTTACTATGTCAGCATATGAAAGTGTTGTTTTGATGATTTTTCCATGTTCGATTTTACAAAATAGAAAAGTATTGTCCACTAACGAAAAAACACATGTACAAATGCGCCTTGTAACGTTTGTATTTTCTACATCTGATCTTTCAACTGTTGTAATTTCTACTAGTGCATAATCGACATATGTAACTTCGACATCGGTATTTTCTTCCAATGTAATTTCTCCACATGTCACATCCATCAAGGCGTGGTTCCGATTTTAGCCGAAGCTTGCGTCATAAAAACAAAACCTCCCTTCAAGTAGTCTCGGTCATCCAGACAATATGGCTCCTCCGCGATAGCTCACTCGACTAACGGGCTTGGATGACCGAGGCTACCCTTCGAGGTAAGTCATTCCTACTACCAGAAAGTTGCATGGGGAGCATCAATAATTTTTAACGGAAGTTAACACTAACATATTGTTTTATGCTAAATTTTAATACAACTTTTAATAGTTTGCTTTCTTTGTTATTTTTATGTGTCTTGAATTCACCATTTCTGGTGTTCATGTCGTTAACATAATTTTGAATGCATAGTTATAGTTTCGAATAAAGAACCGCCCCTGTCGGCTGCTCCACATTGGTGACATCGTTCAATCGTAGCCATGGACAATAATAATCAGGTATATTTATATTTGAATATCAAGAATAGCACCTAGTCGTTTGGATGGGACGAAAAACCGAGGTCCAGTGTGCTGCATCAGGACAGGGCGCATGCTAAAAATCCCAGACAGTTGGAAATTGTTAGAGATACTGATAGTACTAGTAGTAGTAGGCCTAGTGATTCATTTCATAGACATAGTCTAGCTAGGGCTAGGCGAGTTATTGATGGATGTCCTGACAAAATTTCCCTCATTGCACCCTGCATGGTATATGCCAGTCTTCATTAGCCAATACAAAAAATACATCAAAATAGGACGTTAAACCCCATTTCATTGACCATGTGGTATCTACGGCGTCTACGCGTGAAACTATAACGACTCAACGACTGAACGAGTGTAGAACTGTAGTGTAGATAGTGCTACCATCTGACAACCAAAAAAAGAAGAAAGACCTGTGTCACTTATGTAGTATATTTGTACGCTTATGTGCTCTAAGAACAAGTTTTTTGTGGAAGATATTCAAACATAAATATACCTGATTATTATTGTCCATGGCTACGATTGAACGATGTCACCAATGTGGAGCAGACGACAGGGCCGACAGGGGCGGTTCTTTATTCGAAACTATAACTATGCATTCAAAATTATGTTAACGACATGAACACCAGAAATGGTGAATTCAAGACACATAAAAATAACAAAGAAAGCAAACTATTAAAAGTTGTATTAAAATTTAGCATAAAACAATATGTTAGTGTTAACTTCCGTTAAAAATTATTGATGCTCCCCATGCAACTTTCTGGTAGTAGGAATGACTTTCCTCGAAGGGTAGCCTCGGTCATCCAAGCCCGTTAGTCGAGGGAGCTATCGCGGAGGAGCCATATTGTCTGGATGACCGAGACTACTTGAAGGGAGGTTTTGTTTTTATGACGCAAGCTTCGGCTAAAATCGGAACCACGCCTTGATGGATGTGACATGGAGAAATTACATTGGAAGAAAATACCGATGTCGAAGTTACATATGTCGATTATGCACTAGTAGAAATTACAACAGTTGAAAGATCAGATGTAGAAAATACAAACGTTACAAGGCGCATTTGTACATGTGTTTTTTCGTTAGTGGACAATACTTTTCTATTTTGTAAAATCGAACATAGAAAAATCATCAAAACAACACTTTCATATGCTGACATAGTAACTTCTACTCGTGTTTACATGTCTTTTAATGTGGCGTCGATCCCCTTCCATACAGGCTAGCGTTACCACCGAGAGTTGATTATTGTCTGGATAAGTTAAAGATACATTATGGGAGATAAGATAACGAGATGGCAGTTCTCGCTAAAATAGTTAAAAACTAGATAGTGTAAAGGTAATTTGCTGAAAATTTCAGTCAAATTGATCAACTATGAGCCGAGAAAGAAGCGGGTGAAATTTTGGCATAGTCCCGATCATCATTACTAAAATCATTAATATAAACAGCTTAGTCTCGATTATCCGCTTTTTTTGATTTAATTATCAACGGCCGTTAGCGGCATATAGGAATCTAATCCAGCCAACATCGAAGGCCAGCCTTGACATCGAGAGTTTATTATGGTCTGGATAAGTTAATTAATGTTTAATTGATAATTTAGATAACATTTCAGGCCTAAAGAAAGACTTTTAATAAGCAGATTTTGCTCTTGCATAATGCATGTTTAATTTAAGTCCAATTAATGATTTAGATAACATTTCAGGCCTAAAGAAAGACCCGCAATAGGCAGATTTAGCTCTTGCATAATGTATGTTTAATAAACATAGAATGTCAATAGAGAGAATATATACTAATAGATTATGATTGACAAATCGAAAAATGCTAATAAAACCTAAATGACAATCGAAGCTAAAACGTGAATGGGGATAATTCTAATAGAACTTGAATGACAATGGGATAATACTATTAAACGTGAAAATGACAGTGGGGAGAATACTGATAAAACTTGAAAGATAACGGGGAAAATACTATCAAAACTTGAATGGCAATAGGGAGAATACTAATAAAACATGAATGGTAAGGGGGGCGGGGAGGTACTAATAAAACGTGAATGGCAGTGGGGAGAATACTGATAAAACGGCAATGGTGAAGATATTAATAAACCGTGAATTGGAGACTGGCCGTGCGTGGCAGATTTTTTCCGGACAAGTCGAGAACATTTCTACGTCTTGGCGACCAATTATATTATGGCTTGCATATAAAAATTAATCTTTGAAAAGAAATGATATATGATATTAAACATACATATGCAAGAGCTACATTTGTCCATTGCAGGTCTTTCTTCAGGCCTTAAATGTTACATAAACAAATAATTAGACATTTATCAACATGACAAGACCATAATCAACGCTCGATGCCATCTAATGGGTATGATCTTAAACATATTTGAACCCGATCTGCGATTCAACGGCTGTCCATGATTAACCGTAAAAATGGACAATCGAGTCTTTGTTTATTATCGCAACAACGGTAATGGCAATCGTGGCTAAAGTGTTTTTAAATTCGGTTTTCTCGGCTCAGAGTGAAGTAATTTGAAGGAAATTTTCAGCATATTCGCTTTACGTTATCTTCTTTTAAATGTTATAGCGATAACTGTCAGCTCTTTATCTAATCTTACATAATGTTTGTATTAAACAGTAATATTTAATAAATATGTAATCTTGATAAGGCTTTTGGTTAGCCTATATATGAATTAGTACAACCACCTATTGAATAAAATAGAAATCAGTGTAAAATGGAAATACCCACTTTCATCGGGTACTGGAACGGTTTTATCGAGTTCAGCTTTATTCTTTATCACAGTTGATAATTTCGATACATCTAAGTTAGCACACAGTTTTAATATATTGGAAATAGCATCATTACATGTTGTAGCTTTCTCTACTCCCAGTGATGCTGTTAATCCTACAATCTAAAGATATAATCTATCAATGGTTATAAAGTTCTATCAATATATTTATAACGCTAACAATTGCCCATTCAAAGTGACCAGGAAATCTTATTTGGACACATTTGTAAAGACATTTAAAAACAAGCTGTTTTTCCAGTGGTAGATGATTACAAACCTGTGGCAAATGCTTTTCTCCGGATTGTTTAGCTTTCAGATACATTTTCATTAAGTTATTATACGGTTCACCCTTTCTGGTATTGTGGCATTCATCTAAAATCAGCAACGAAAATACACTAAGTGACTTGATCTTCCCGTCACGTAGATGGTTGTACAGAATTTGTGGCGTTAATACCAATATATCACAATGGCTAAGAATTAAATTAACTTGCACAGAAAGGTCACTTTCGCCTTGTACATGCTGCATCTGAAATCAAAATAACATTTTATTTTTCATGTGTACAATGCGCATAATGTAATGGAATGTGGTGTATATTTTCAGGTACACTCAATTCAAAACTAATTAACTGTCAAGTGACTTACATGGTAATTGGTCAGAAACCGTTGGAAGTCTTTAGCTTGTTGATTTACCAAAGATGTAGTTTTTGCCATGAATACCACCTTCCTCTTATCTGCAAAACAGATACAGTGTGGCATACATTGTAATACACAGAATGGTATTCTGTAAAAGGGTCAAATATAAATACCATTTTAACATATTCACCTGAACTTAATTAGCTGCACTGCTTGGTGGCTTTCAATCAAATTTGATAAACATGTTGCTTGTTTATTGCTTTTTAAGGTATGTTTAAGTATAGTTGTTTGGTTGGTGATAATATATATAGATTGGCTTCTTTACACTAATTCGTAGATAATTCAGATATTTGGACAACATTTTGTAGGAATGTTGGCTGTTAGATACGGATGTAAAATTGTGTAATTATTGTCGCTTGCCCTCAAGAATTAACAAATAGGCTTGAGCACCGGTTTGTTGTACTGTTGTATTGATTGGTTGAGCAATGAAAACAGTCGCCCAATATTGTGTTCTAATTTAGCAATGGATAATGAGATGAGTTGGCAAGTTGTGCATGCTTATTGTTTTGTTGTGTATGTGAAAGTGACATTTTAGTTAGCATTGGGAGAAAAGATAAAATAATTATTGATGTTAGTAATACCTCCCGAAGCTAAATTTAAGTGTTTATCAACTATATAACGCGCCACTCTTGTTTTTCCCGAACCCGTAGGAGCACATATTACTGTATTTTCTCCTCGTATGGCAACTTCACTCAATTCGTATTGATAATCTCTCATTTGAAAATCTTCATTAGACGCTTTAGCTAGAAAAGAAATGTTACAAGAATTAGGAAATTAGGCATGATATTTACATAGTTTCAGTTATACCAAATTGCTATACCGGTTCATTTTCAGTATTTCTGACTGTTGAAAGCGATAAGCTCTTCAGACATCTTAAATTACAAAAGTATGTACATCTATCCTACGTGGATTAAAACATCACAACTAGTTAACCCAACCCATTTAATATTTATTTTATTATACTTATCACTAACAGGCGCTATCCGTTTTTTCATCGTTTGAGAGACCATCATTTTCTGAAGCAAACGATTGTGTACTCTGTATCGTTTCTGCCCTGCCTTCAGCTCCTTCACCTATATAACATATTACCATAACGGGTGAGATAACGTATTGTGTGTTACAGCTTTCAAAATCCTTGACTTAAATATGGAATTCAATATGATTTTACGGTGTGTTCTATTTACATAGCAGAATACTTCGTCAAATACGAAGTTAGAAAAAGCTATAACATAACACATATAAGCACGAGGTATAGGAACTCTAAATACTGTCCATCTTGTCTTAATGGTGTCTTCTATAGTCCGAAATACGCTGATGTATTTCTAGGAACGACGAAAGATGTCTGAATAAATATCAGCGCGGACTCGTCTTTTAAGCCCCCAAAACGTAAATTCGTAATAGGTACGATGTACTTGATTGGTCAAGGGTGTTCTAATAAGGAAACTACAAAAACATATCCATTGTATAGTTCAACTACCAAGGATGGAATCTATACGGCACAATTTAGTTGTCCGTATAATATGGGTGTATGCATACACCAATGTTTAAATATTTAGTTATCCGTAGAATATTGGTATACACCAATTGAATAAATACTTTAGTTGTCCGTAAAATATGGGTGTATGCATACACCAATTGGTTTAATACTTTAATGTCCTGCAGTTTAATGTGGGCAAAATATTCTAAGCTACAGATATCTCCGCTACTTTAAATAAATAAATTAAAATAACATACGGATAAAAAAACAAAATGTGATTTTGTACAAAGTACAAAATTTCAGTGTTCAAGAAACATTAGAATAATCTGTTCAACGCTTCTTTCACTTCGGAACTCCATAAAACGGGTCAATAAAATTACTTTTCCACGAGGCGAACATAAACAATATTTACAATATTTTGGTCTCCAAAGATCAAGATCGGACTTATCAATATTGTTTCATCGAGGAATTTTAAGTATTTTTATTTGTCTTGGACAGACCTGTAATCGGCATAGAATCAATTAAACCATTGTGAATCATCAGTTTTTAAGTGGCCATTGGTGTTTTTCTTTCCTTGATTATGTTCCCTAGTGGTTTTGAATTGGCGGTACCGTGTGTTTGAAATAGACATTGGGCGATAGAGGGCAAAATACGGTTAAATATAGATCCCTGTATGATAGCACAGTGTAAACGAGATTCTTTCGTTTATGAGAACTAATTGGTTTATATCCTTCAGATTTGATCTGAACCATCCCAATTACAGCCACCATTCCAAGTCTTTGTTGTAATTGATCTGCATGTACAGTTCAAGTCTGTGTATCAAATGCATTTAAGATATATGTAATAAGGGGTATCTCACAGGGGAGAACTCGAAAGATATTTCCTGTTTCTTTCTTAGAACTTTGGCTGGACACCAAAGTTATATATGGCCGGAATGACAACTCCGCAAACCATGATCCGAAAATTTCAAATTCCGTAGGGTTCTCCCTTATACTCCATTCCACCAAGAACCCTGTCCAGTATCGCACTCAAACGTTGTCCTGAATTTCACACATAACTGTAACTCCCAGGTTGATAATATAAGTTAGTTCTTACCTGGCTGAATTTGCTCATTTTCTGTTGTATTAAATATTGCTTCTGTAAAACAAAGCAAAACTTAATGTTCCACAAAACAAATCATTACAAATTATGGACAAAGGATTAAGGATATCAACAAAGGGCCACGGGTTAGTAAACAATTAATGGAATAACACTATAGCACTGCTATAAAAACGAAAAAACTCTTAGGTTTAACCAAAAAAATCCCGGAAAACTAAATGTTCTTGGATCTTAAGTCAAAAAATGGTGACATTTCAGTCAGAAATAAACTGAATTCCACGAAATGCAAACTTTATCTGCTGGATTTGGCTGTAAGGTGGAAAACCTATAGCCCCCATACGTATGCCTTCTAAATGTCTTTTAAACATTTATGTTAATAGGAGACATTTCAAAAACTACAGTACAAATAAAAATTCGAATATTATTTTTAACAAAAACAAAATCTAATGGATGATTTGTGTCGTATCATTTATTTGATTTAGGGTATAATAGGGACTGGTTTCGGTATTAAATAGCGACAGTATAGTCCAAACCTCGGGCTGTTTTTCATCATCTTTGCAAGGGTAGGAGTCAAAGAGTTGGAAAGTTATCCAAACATCTTAATCTACTGATTAATGTATTACCTTTTTGTCTTGGATCTATTTCCAGATGCTCAAACAAAAGTGCATTATGTTTTTCCATGGCTTTAAAAAAGGCAAATGGCCAGTCACTTCTTAGTCCTTTCATTTTCTTAAATAATACGTTACATGCTGCTGTTCGCCCATTATTAGTATAGGCACTGCTGATGAGCTCAACGTCTCGTTCCGTCAAATAATCACCCTGTAGCATTTCTTGTGCCAGACCAAGTGGATCGGTTATATAATCAATGGTATCAGCTTGTAGCAACAACACTAAATATCCACAATGTTGTCTTCCTGTCTGTTGTATACCCGGCACTTTCCTATCTTCTAAAACATCTAGAAATCTTTGAAATTCTTAAAAAATAAAAAGATAAGAAAGACGACAAAGATAGGCTACAGCCAAGTAGACCGGGGGCATTAAAAACATCTTCCTTGCATTAACAAAATGAACAAATTAGACGTAAGGTTGTAAAATGTCCAGTACTTGATAAAAACGTATCATATGTTACTCTTTATAATGTATTCTATTCACAGCCACTGAGATTTTATCTACCTGTATTTCTTTGTAGAATAAGATCATTTATTTAAATGCATTGCTAAAATGGGAACATATAATTATATGCTTTTACAAGATATGTCTAAAAAAAAACCTTTCTCAACATAGCAAAATTGACATTTGCTACAGGTATGTAACTGACCATAAAGGATTATCTCGCCGACTTGTTAATGTTTTTGAAGTAACTTCATGATGTTATTTTCGAAGACCACCGCGCCCAGAACATTATTTGGAATTGCTTCTGTCTTGCATCCAGTGTGTAATTGTACGTTGTTTTGTTTTTAAAAGAGCGTTGTGTTTAATAAACTTATATATTTTTCAAACGCGTAAAACATTTTTTAGATCCTATCGATTACTATGAAAAAGGCCCGAGACTGCAAAACGCACTAGACCCTGAATGGTGGCCCACGGAGCAATTCACTTGATTTGGTAATATTATTTTGTTGTTTATTGCTTGGAATACACATGTATCGTATCTCTTCTATATTTCTATTTGTGTGTGGTGAGGATCCACAACACTAAACTACGATAAAATGTCTTTCGGATTATCGACAGCACCAACCACATATTGGTGCTTAAGTGCCTGGAAAATCTTCATCTCAATGAAAGATTCATTTATGTTAGTGAATTGTTGAAATATCAAATATATGTAACCCCAAAAGAACATAATTATTATGTGCAGAAGGTGAAATAGTTAGTCATAAACTGTCTAGGCTGTTAACCAATGAGCGTAATATGTTACCACTGTACACTGGTTTGCTCAGAAATGGTGTTTCAGTATCTACATTAAACGCTTTATAAAAAAAAGTACGGAGAAATTAAATTAAAGATTGAAATGAAAATATAATATTACAAAAGCAACTCACTAAGTAATTTTAATGCCATTATGAATTCTGAAACACACCGGTTTTTCTGTACATATTGTATAAGTTTTCCTACAGCTATTTGCCTGGAAAATCTCTCTTCTAGTTTAATAATTTCTTCCTTTTCTTTCTCTGAATGATAAATATTGTGTGACATGTAAATTTGACAAGTTCAATTGCAATGGCCATCCAAGAGACCAATAGGTGCAATATGAAGCCTTGACTATATATATTTCTTTTATTTGATTTTAATCAATTTCCCTGTAAATCATTTATAGCATCACACAAGTAGCCGTGAACGGGGTGAGGTTCGTTGTGATGCAGTTGAATCTTGTTCCATGTTGGGTTGGAAGTTATTTAGTTGAATTTTTACTCAGTGGGTTAGCAAGGGTCCTCAGCACCCAGCTGCAAAGACACTTTTGGCAGTCCCACATAATTTCGGCCTCATATAATAAGGAGGGGGGGGGGATAAATGTTACCAGGGATAGGTTGGGTTGATAATTGAAGAATTGCAACAGGTAATGCCCTAACAGTATATGTGATGGTGATTATTGAAAAATTTTGAAAGTTAACAGGATTTCCAATATCGAGAGTTAACAGAAACTTACCACTAAGCGTATTTAAACGTGGTAAAATATCGCTTGGGTTCAGGAATTCTTCAAACAAAGGTGTACATGCTTCTATCAAATGGTTTTGATACATGTACTTATAGTCTGGGTGGTCTTTTTCGATCACAGACGAAGCCATATTGTTGTATTGATCTGAAAAGGTAGGAAATGTAATGATTTTTATTAAACACGTTACCTATTACGTGCTATGGCAAGGTGTGTACATTTTATGACTTCTTTGTGACTAGGGGCATATTGTTAAAACTGCTATACTGACAGTTAATATTATAATATATACCTTGCATTCAAACAAAGTTATGTCATCACGGTCGTCACGTAGACATTATTATCAAATATGAACATGTACATGTATGCCTGTATAATTATGGTACCGGTATGATTTCATAGTTATCTCGGCTGTTGCCAGTCTTGGTATTGTATACACCTTTATTATCTGATTGACTAGAAATTTATGCTTATTGTTTATGTTCAAACAGCGAAGTAGCCAAGTGCCCTTTTAAACCATGCAGACATTATATACAGTATAATCTATCACCAGATTAACTTGAAAGATTTCTGATAATTACCACCACGGTTATTGCTTATTGTTGGACGCTTTTAGCACCTGAATAAATCATCCGACCGATTTAAAATTACCCCATTGGTTGTTTGAGTGTCGTCACGTGCTAGTTTTTTTTACGCCGGCCAATGTTGATCAACTTTTTGAGTCCTTAAACAATCTTATGAGTAGCCCACGTCATGCAATTTTACGAAATAAATATTACCCTAATCGAGGGTTGATATGTGAAATAACCCAAGGCAAAGTGCAGAATTTATGCAGAAAATATTTAACAAGGATTTAATGTACTCGGATATTCGGATTGTGAGGAAGAAACAAATGATAAATATGCTTTTCGAGTGACAAGACGTCAGTGAATGTGCCAACAATGCCGTGCCCATAAATACCTTACGCAGACATCAGTTGGTCAGTGTTGCCAAATAATAAACACGATAATGCATATTTTAAGTAAATTATCAATGATTTCAGTATACTAAAATATTAGAGCATTATACATGTATAATACATGCACCCACACCCACCCCAAATGTTTTTGTATATCACTATGTTTGGCATCAGGCATTTGAAGTTACTTCAATATAGTAGGTCAAGTATGATTTAAAATTCAATTCAAGAAGCAAACACCATAGGAAATCGATACTTACATTATATACTATCAACAATGTTTAAATTGCACCGTGAATATACTCAAATTATTGATAGATTACGAGAATTAAAACTCCATGGAAGGCTACTCCACTGTCTCTGGCTATAGAAGAACATTCTACACTCTCGAAGTATGTATAGGTTCCCGGAATTACCCATTAGTATTTTTCGCTTTCAGGAAATATGGTGACGTAATTTTCGTTTTAAATAACCCTTGCATGATATAGCATTAATTGATTTTTTGATAGAATGCCCAATGCATACGGTTTGTTTAATAATTAAATAAGTTACCTATTTTATAGTTCCCATGCAGCTAATCGACAAACGTAAATGGTAATTATTGTCAAGCTTAATTTAAAAATGAAAGTAAAAATTATAAGGGGATTTCCAAACATTGTCGGGAGCGTTTAAACGTAATAAATCAATAATTCATATAAATACTTCATTATTCAAATGTTTTATTTTATCATTTTAATTGGAAACCAAAACGTAATAATCATTTATTAATGGCCCAACAATAAATTGACCAGATTAATGTCAAATGAAAACAACCAGATAATTCAATAACTGTTCCCCCGGTTTCATCACGTGACCATAAAGTAAATCGCTAAAAATATACATTAGGAAATTATAAAGTAATAAAATACCTATAGAAAGGAATAGCTTTATTTGATCGTTTTTCTTCTTATGATAAAGCACTTACGTAAATCGCACGAAAGGTCCGTCTATTGGTCATGTTAGTCCCGAAATGACTAGGTTAGAAACTTAAAGACCAAGCATGGAAATGCGCTCAGGATAGCCATAGACAGTGTGTTAAAAACTAAACCCTCTATAGCGTCCACCTGGTTTTCGGACAAGAATGCTGAATTTCGAGGGGGTAACTCCAGAACGGAAGGTTGTAAAATGCCGAATTTCGATAAGGTTCGTTGTCCACACTGCATCTAAAACCTGGTCGTATAAAATGATATACTTGTAAATCAACAGAACTAGGCAGATTTCAACTCTTTATAGATGAGAAACACAGAGTGATCAGACATGAATTAGAAACTGGATATTATAATTCATTATATTAATCCTAGATGAAAACTAATAATAGTAAATAGCTCAGTCAAATCCAAATTACATTAAAAGGAAACGGGACATATTCTGACAATAGAATAAAACTAGTACAGCATGTAATATAATATCAGGAATATAATTGAAACTGTATATCCGGGTTGTAAAATATACCACAGACATAATATTAGCTGTGTTCTGACTGATTTTGATTTATCGTTTAGAAGAAAACATCTTTCATAATGTAAGACAGAAGTGAATGGGTGTTATGAAATGAAATGATATTAAAGATACTTTATGGGAGGTTAGATAAATAGCTGGCAGTTCTCACTATAATAGTTAAAAAATGGATAACGTAAATGGAATTTGCTGAAAATTTCAGTCAAATTGATCCATTCTGAACCGAGATTTTAGCGATTGAATTTTCGGCCTAGCCTCGATCATCATTACTAAAGTCGGAACGATAAACAACATACTCTCGATTATGCATTTCATGATTAAATCATGAATAGAAGTCGAACAGCAAATCGGAACCTAATCCAATAAACATCGCAGGCTAGCGGTGACATCGAGAGTAGATTATGGTCAAAAGTGAAAATGGACGTTTTTGATTTCTGTCTTAATAATGAGTAATTGCTCCACCAATCCTCGGACATTCAGCAATTCGTCGTGGCATGCTCCTAATCAACCGTCCAATCACGATTTGGGGCAATCTGATCCACTCCTCTTGCAGTGTTGTCGGTTGACGTTGACGTCGACGAACACGTCTCCCGATCAAATTAAACGTAACACACTAAAGCAAAGATACGCTAAACAGTAACTCTTATGCAAGAACCGTTAGGAAAGCAAACATAGATAGATAGGCAGTTTTCATCAACTCTTCCTTGAAGTTTCAAATTTGACAATGAACCCCTCCCAGTACGTGTATGGTGCTATTGCGTGTCGCATGTGCAGCTCAGTGGTTCTGTTGGGGCGATAAGTTCTTCATCTGTGAACATACTCTCAAAGCATGTCAAGTGTCCATGACTATTTATCATATCACAACCTATATAGGTATTTGCATTTCAATATCCCCTACTTTTTTTGAAGAGTATATATGACCCCACATGCGAGCACTACAAGATAGATATATAAGCTGTGACGCTAGAATTTGGGTATAATTCACCCCCTTCCCTTTCCCTGCGGCTAGTTAACATTTTGCGTGAAATTAAAAGCAGTCGATGTGTTTACAACCGAAACATAATATTATTATTGTTCCTGTCTTTCAAAATGCTGTCAGTGGGTGTATATTGTTTTCCTGACAACGTTAATGTATGTTACGTTTGGAAGTCATACCCTAGAAATATAATTCGTGTTCTTGTGTACTTTATAAAAAAAAGTTCCATTTATCCATTAACATCAGTTTCTGTCATCCTAATATATTGAAATGAATGTTTTGTCGTCACATTAACTTTTTGATTCGTTTTATATTAGATATTGGAGAACAAAAACATGACCTTTCCCAAACAATCCAATTATTTCTGCTGCCTTTGAAAAGAAGAAAAAAATTCTAGAAAATATATGACAATAATTATTAAACAACCAATTTGTAGAATGAACTGAATACAAACATTATGTTTGAAAGAATTGTAATTTGAATGCGGGCAAAACATTTGTTTTATTTTGAAATATGGTTCTTCTGATGATTGTATATAGCATACTACTGCTGTGGTGATCTCTCTCTCTCTCTCTCTCTCTCTCTCTCTCTCTCTCTCTTAACTACTCGAAAGTTGACCATCGTGTCGAAAACAGTATTAATTTCTGAACTCGGTGTTGATTGCTGGAAATAAATCTGATTAAAACACAGATCCTATTTCGTTTCGTTTTTTATACTTCAAAATTTCGTTTTATTTGGCTGTACTACACTAGGATCTGGAAGAGTTGTTATATAACCTGCGTTCTGGGTTGCGTGAGGGATTAGACAATGAAACCATCTGCTACGGCGACTTATGTGCGTGCGATGCACGGAATTGAGGGTAAACCACTAGAAATGTCAACGCTGATTGATTAATCAATTTCTGACGTCATAGGGTCAAAAGCCGTTCGTACGACCCCTGACGTGACCCTCCAGTACAACTGGTCAGATCTTCATGTAGTGTAGACCATCGAAAGTATAAAAAAAGAAACGAAATATAGATCTGTAGTTTAATCAGATTGGCTAGTAAATCAACATCGTCCCACAATGTCATAATTCATCATTGGAACATTGTGATTAGTGGGGCGGTTAAGCAAAAAATCGTGCACTTTGGGTTAAAAGCATGAAACTTGGCACATAGATGGCATCAACCCTACTGATTATTTTGGGATGTGGATCCACCTCAGCAGCACCCCCTGGTGGTCGTTACGGCCATCTTTTACAAAATGGCCGCCTATCCATTGAAATACATATAACTAGGGTGTCACAATAAGACATTTTTTTTACAAATCATTTCAGGCCAGCAATTTCCAAAGGCGAAATTGCTAGCTGAACACGATTTTTGAAAAAAGATTTATCTATGACGTCATTTTCGGTTGGGGTTTGTCTGATTTCAAAAATGGCCGCCAAAATGATAATGCTAATGATAATGTTAAGAATTGACACATTCTTTGGAGAAAATATCTGGTTATTCCGACCCTCCACCCCCACCCCATAACAATACAACGGGGCCAACTGAGGCATTTTTAATTTCATCTCCTTTGTCTTTGCACCGTTTTACCGGAGTGAGAATCATTTATGGTATATGCAGTTGTTAAGAATTTAAGTTCTCCTATTCGTTCAGAAATGGTGATGTGATCCGTTTTTGCATCGAAGACTCTGTGTTTAGTAACTTTTGTGGTAGAGTCTAGATGTGGTATCCATAGGTCATTTTCGTCAGTGACGTATTTCACAACAAGTTCTACATGTAATAACAACAGATTAGAAAAGAGGAAATCGTGGGGGATGACTTTTGGGATAACAATACTATTCGTAAATGCATTTCAAATTATTTTCGTGATGATTATTTTTAAACTTAGAACTTGGTGTGCAATACATTACAGTCGAAAATGATCTGTGGATACCATAGTTAGACTATACCACAAAAGTTGCCGGACATAGAGACTTTGATGATTCATTTTACACTTTTCACTTTGTGAAATACATGACTGACAAATATGAATCCATCTGTCTAGATGATACCACAAACGGTTTTCGGGCATAAGTCTTCTGAACCAGAAATGATGCAATGGAGTTTAATGTCCTACTGCTCTGTACTAACAAAGTTAATGAATATTGTTATTCGTCAAGCAGTGTGCTATGAGGAAAATTGGTCCAGACAGTGGTGCTATGGCCTACTCTTATTTCGAATTCCAACTGTTTAGGGTTCTTTTATGCGCACGTCAACGTGTACATATAAACCTGGTTTCTTGAAAATCCCCCGTGCTGCATCCTGGAAAATCCTGAGGTACTTTCTTAGCAAACATAGGGATCGAACCCTGGTCCATGTTCTTGGCGAGTCTTACTCACTGAACCACTGTTTTGAACCATTTCTGAATAAACAATAGATAAATTCGTAACAACTGGATATATATGCCCCATTGTTTTGCTGGAATAATATTAAATCTTGTTTATGTGAGATCCAGTATAACAATTCCAGTTACCATCAAAATAACTACTACTCTTTGCTATTACAAGCCAATCCAAGATGAAAATTCACAATTGTCCCTTTTTATTTTTAAGCAATCATCTACCATCTTCAAAATTTATTTTTGATGTAATATTCATTTTCAAAATTCATTTTTGAGGTAATATTCATTTTCAAAATTCATTTCTGAGGTTATTTTCAAGTTCATTGACTTTGAAAACCCAATAAAGAACATTATTACAAGCCATACAAAACCGAAAAAATGGCGATTATCTGAAAAGTCTTTCTTTTTAGGGAAATTCTAGTCGCCATTTTGGATTTTCAACCATCTTGGATTTTGGAAACTCTTCTTTTGAGGTTGTATTTAAGTTCAGTGACACAGAAAACCCTTTAAATCGCATATCACTAGCCATATAAAACTTTAAAATGATGATTATCC